TTCGTTAAGATTTTATAATTTGATTTTGACCGTATAAATGTATAAACGTCGTTTTGAAACACCCTGTATCTTTCCGTAGTTATAAAAATACGCGAACATTATTTTGGCTCACTTGTTATCACAACACCAAATTGCATCGTAATCGGTGACACATTTGCGATACTTAACCTTTATAACTCAATAATTTTCTCATTTACATGCTATTTATTTCAATGTCAAAGGATTTCTTGAAACCGAACCGCCCAACAGGATATCGATTTATTACGACGATTAGCAATAAAATAACCGATTAAATTGCAATAATAAATTTAAAAACGAATTACTTCATCAAACTTAATTGTCAGAAAACACTAATTTTTTAGTCACAAAAAGGTTTATACGATATTACTCATTCATTAATCTTTCTCTTTCTTATCTATAAATAAATCGTACATTCTCTTCATTTCGTTTGAATTTTTTAGTTTCTGAAATAAGTAAAAATAACAAAAGTACACAAAGATTTTTAAAAACATTCCAAACAGGGTATCAAAACCCAAGAATGAAAAATGCTTTAATTTGATACCAAACATGACATAATTGGGTTAAAAAATAAAAGTTAGGTTAGAAACTGTCAAATGTCAAAATTAATTCATGTGGTATCAAAATCCAAATATAAATAGCAGAGTTACAGCTTGGGGCGTTTTTTACCTGACACCTACAACTGAAGTGTTGTTAAATACCTGGGTATTTATTTTCAAGGGAAAATTCTCTAGATATATACCCGGAGGTATTTACCCAAGATGGGTATTTAGAGGTATTTATAAAATTTAATTTAAATTGAGTTGATGGCAGTTTTGCAAGCACTTCAAGAATGCAGAGTCGATTATCGATACACCAAAGTTATTTATAACATCTACAAGAATGCTACAATTACGGTAAAATTGCATGAAAGTACTGACCGAATACCCGATTGGGCGTGAGGTAAGACAAGGCGATACAATGTTGAACCCAAATTGTTCATCACAGTTCTGGAGAGTGCATTTAAACAACTGGATTGGACCCAAAAAGACTTAAACATTGATGGCAAATCCCTAAGTAATTTGCACTACGAGGACGATATAGTACTTATTTCGGATAGCCTTGAAGATGAAACTGATGCTGAACGTATACAAAAGGTGTATGCAAGAGTCTAAATATCAACAAAATTTATGACAAATCTTATTTCCAGCTCTAACATCAATATTGGTGATAATGAGATTGAGAGGGTTGACAGCTATGTATGTATTAGACCAACCATCAACTGATATGTTTACGTTACATCCATAAAGACTTCCAAAACACTTTGTTTTTTCTTCCTCATAAATGATCCTGAATGTTGAGTTCGTATTTACGTGAAAAATATCAAAACCAAGGTTAAAGAATAAAAGATATGTAGGAAAAAATATTTGATTTTTGATTAAAATAAAGAAATCGTGACTTTTCCCACCTTGGTCACAAAAAGGTTTACACGATTACTCATTCATTAATCTTTCTCCTTCTTATCTATAAATAAATCGTACATTCTCTTCATTTCATTTGAATTTTTTTTTTCATTTAATTTTTCTGAAATAAGTAAAAAATAACAAAAGTACACAAAGATTTTTATTTAAAAAAAGTTATTATTTCATATTAAAAACATTCCAACAGATAATATGACATTAATTGCACGTTATAACCACGCACACAAATCATTATAATAAAAGTAATTAGAAACCAGCCGATTAAACTACAGTTCGTTTTTTTTTTTATAATTCTTGTCAATGTAAATTTTTTAAGGTTTCTGTTGGTATTATCTAGGACCCTTATAAAATTTATGTTTTCCTGATTTTTAGTAACTAAATAGTTGAGGTTAAAATACTAATAAATGAGTCAAAAATGCTTTAATTTAATACCAAACATGATATATTTGGGTTAAAAAATAAAAAGTTAGGTTAAAAACTGTCAAATGTCAAAATTAAATATAATGATTTTTTGCTAAATATTGAAATGATCTTAATAAGAATTAAATAAGCTTTCATTTGATATCAAGCGTGATATATTTGGGTAAAAAAATAAGAATATTAGGTTAGAAACTGTAAAATGTCAAATTTGAAAAATATTGAAATGATCTTAATAAGAGTCAAAAATGCTTTAATTTAATACCAAACATGATATATTTGGGTTAAAAAATAAAAAGTTAGGTTAAAACCTGTCAAATGTAAAACTTAAATATAACGATTTTTTGATAAATATTGAAATAATCTTAATAAGCGTCAAAAATGCTTTAATTTAATACCAAACATGATATATTTGGGTTAAAAAATAAAAAGTTAGGTTATAAACTGTCAAATGTCAAAATTAAATATAACGATTTTTTGATAAATATTGAAATGATTTTAACAAGAATCAAAAATGCTCTAATTTGATACCAAACATGACATTTAGATTAAAAAATAAAAAAGTTAGGTTATAAACTGTCAAATGTCAAAATTAAATATAACGATTTTTTGATAAATATTGAAATGATCTTAATAAGAGTCAGATAAGCTTTCATTTGATATCAAACGTGATATATTTGGGTTAGAAAATAAGAAAGTTAGGTTAGAAACTGTCAAATGCCAAAATTGAAAATAACGATTTCTTCATAAATATTGAAATGATCTTTAATAAGAGTCAAAAATGCTTTAATTTAATACCAAACATGATACATTTGAGCTAAAAAATAAAAAGTTAGGTTAGAAACTGTCAAATGTCAAAATCAAATATAACGATTTTTTGATAAATATTGAAATGATCTTAATAAGAGTCAAAAATGCTTTAATTTAATACCAAACATGATATATTTGGGTTAAAAAATAAAAAGGTAGGTTAAAAACTATTTGGGGTAAAAAATAAAAAGTTAGGTTAAAAACTGTCAAATGTCAAAATTAAATATAACGATTTTTTGATAAATATTGAAATGATCTTAATAAGAATNGGTAAATATATTTGGGTTAAAAAATAAAAAGTTAGGTTAAAAACTATTTGGGCTAAAAAATAAAAAATTAGGTTAAAAACTGTCAAATGTCAAAATTAAATATAACGATTTTTTGATAAATATTGAAACGATCTCAAAAATGCTTTAATTTAACTAAACATGATATATTTGGGTGAAGAAATAAAAAGTTAGATTAAAAACTGTCAAATGTCAAAATTAAATATGATGATATATTTCTATAATACTTGTCAATATAAATTTTTTAGGGTTTCTGTTGGTATTATCTAGGACCCGTATAAAATTTATGTTGTTTTCCTGATTTTTAGTAACTAAATAGTTTTGAGGTTAAAATACTAATAAATTCTTTAGATAAATACGATTTTAACGAAGTACATATTTATTGTAAAAACGTGCTACAAAGTAATGAAATAGAACAAAACAACTTTTCAAGGTAAACAAATGGCAAATAAACACCCCACAACATTTTTTACTTTTTAATAATAAAACAAAACTCCCTGTTAATTTTGCCAACATTACAACAATTTGACAGGTATTATAGAAAAAAAATGAAAGTAGTTAAAAACGATCTCAATTACATAACAATTAACATGTCTTTCTCCTTGTTGAAAAGGACAACAATGATGACGCCGATTTGAAGAACTCGCTGAAAGTTGAGACGTTAAATGGGGGTCACTCCGCATAGCTTTGGGCATAGAGGAGAATGAGAAGAAGTTGATCGTTCGCTTCTCGTACACTTGGAGAAAAAAGAGGCAAAAAAGAGACCAAGACACCAAGTGGACGAAAAGTTGCTTGAGCGATCCAGAAACCTGGTTCTTAATTTCGCCGCCCGTATACGATAATTGTATCGATTCTGTGGAAAGTTACCCACAAACGACTACGACAAAGATGCTGATGAGATGATGATATCGCGAGAGAGCGCGTAAAAGCCGCGAATTCCCGCTAACGCACTTAGAGGCGTGTTAAGAAGTCTATTTATAAAATAGCGAATACAGGAACGTTTCTCGCACACACACACACAACACAACACAACGAGAGACGACAGCGGAGGAGGAAGAGAGAGGAGGTTTTACTCCTTCTCGTCGTCGTCGTCGTCGTCGTCACGGTTTTAAATGCGCTTAACGGTTGCATTATCATGTAAATGAATATATGACCTAGAAAAAAAAAACACACACACACGTTGGACGTTATGTTTCGTTACATTTCGAAGCGTAAAAATGTTTGGGCGAAATATCCATCTTAAATAAGTAAACGTCCGTTGGATACAAAACGGAAAATGAAAATGCCGGCAAAAACAGAAAACACGTTCGATTCCGGTCGATCGTTAATAACCGCGTTTTAAGCGGTTTTTTATTAAACATCGTTTGGGAAAATCGCAAATTGTAAATAATCGTACGCGTAAATGCGAAATGTGGCTTACCTTATAACAAACCTTCCACAGAAACAAAGAGAAGCCACAGTGGCCACGCTGTTAGATCGAGAGTCGCACAAAGGGCCGATTTCTTGTCAAACGGCACAATTTTCCTGCACTGTTTTGTTAAATTAAAACTACCGGATGTTGATAGAGATCGATGATCACGCACTTGTTAATTAATTTTCGAGTTTTACACCACTTTCCGTAATTTCTTGCACAACGCTTTCGCGAGCACTAACATCCCCACTTCGACACTCCAATATGGCGGACTCAAGATAACCAGCGCGAACGAAAATGGTGCCGTTACGAATCCCCTCTTAAATAAACCGAAACGTTTTAATCGAAATAAAAATCACTACAAACCGGACAAACTCTTTTCGACTCCCTCCCGGCTCCCCTTACTTATATTTAACTTTCGGAAATCTTAATTGATTTAAAATTTAATGTGTATTCTTACACGCACTTCATGGAAAGTAACTTTTATACGTCAGTTTTTTTTTTACTCCACTAGAAACCATGGTAATTAAAATAAAATGCATCTCTATAACAATCGGGATCATTATTTATTTATCGAACGAAACTTTTGATTGATATTTAAAAATAAATTACTCGGCAAACGGATTTAAGATGTTAACGAAAATCTTGACTTCTCAATCATTTATGTTGGTAACGCTGAAGTTTACCCGCTCAAATTCCAACCTCAACTTCTGTCAAAAAAAAATAGTGGTTATATTTCAAACTTTGTTTCTTCGTTTTTTAAGAAATTTATATAAAATTATTCTTGTAAGATGAGTTCTAATCGAAAACCAAGTCGATACGCCCATTCTGCTGGTCATACCGACGTGTGTTATTCAGAAGATGGCCTGTATGTATTTTTTTATAAATTATAAAATTATTATATCCCATTTTTGTAGGAAATTAATCACTTGTGGTACCGATGGTGATATTCGTATGTGGGCCAGTATAGATGATTATGATCCTTTTCAAACTTGTGTTGGAGAATGGTCTTTATGTGTTCGACAAAAAAACGAATCTATTTTAATCTCCACCGATAGTAATAGTGTACAATTACTTAATTACCCCGGAGGAGATCGTGATGCTATTTTAACTAAATGTAGCGCACCAATTACTCATATGGCTATAGGAAAACAACACAATGTATATATATTTATTTAAAAATATGGTGTGGCCCAAATGGTGATATTCAAAGAGAAAATTGATTTTATTTGTGTTGAGATATATTCAATATGATACACATATACAAAAATTATACACTTAAGGTTTTGGTACATCTTACAGTACAGTTTTTTTGAATAATTAGATTATAAAATGAGTAAATTACTAATACTTAATATCTTTCAGATAAAATTAGATAGATAGTTATTGATGATTAAACTTCGTGATTTATCAATTGAGAATACAGCATTTTTTTCTCGACCGATTTTGAAATTGATTAATTAATACTATATCTTCTACATGTAATGAGTGTATAAGATCTCAATTGTATATTGATTGACAGCATAAACTGGAGCCTCTTAAGCATCCATTAATTTGAACATTGTATAAGCAGGTTAATATCAATATTATTCTTATTTGCAGATAAACAACACTTTTTTTATAAGTGTGTTAATTCTAATGTGCTTAAAAAAGCTTGAAAACTTTGAAAGTTCTTTTTTGTTTATATCATTAGATATTAGTATAAAAATTATTATAAATTATGTATTAATGAGAAGGATGAAGTTGATGTTTTAACAAGAGTTTCAATATTAGTTTAAAATGTTCACATTTAGTGATGTCTTATTTCGATAACTGCGCTAACACATCTTTATACAAAGTAAAGTAACTATCAAAAGTTTCTTGTAACATAAAAATATATCTTTCTGAAGAGTTGATATCTTATTGATTGATTTCAATCTTTCATTGGTGATAACTTCTGCATAATTCCTTTTGCATTGTCATATTTGAATTGTGAATCTTATGATATGCTGTGTATAGATTAATAATACATTGTGGTATTTCAATCATGATATAATTAAATGAATCATTAATTATGACCAGATTTGACTTTAAAGTGTTTAAAGGGGAGCTGAGATAATTTAATTATTCTTCTTTCTTTTTATAAAATAGGTTAAAATCTATTTCTACTTCGGTTTTACGCCCATCTATATGTTGCCATTCCATCTTTTTCTTGGACGTCCAATACTTCTTCTGCCGTCAGGTGATGCTTGGATGTCTCTTGCTACTGGCACAAGTCGTTGTCATTCTTGTTTTCTGTTTAGTACCATTCGTTAATATTTTCTATTTTACATTTCTTTCTTATAGCTTCATATCGCCGTTATCCCATAAGATTGTTTCCGAAATCTTCCTAAGAATGGGCCTTCTAGTTGTTTTGTATATTCTTGTTTTTGTATATTAATATGTTTGTTTCTCAAAATCACTTGGTTCTCACCATAACCTGTTATATTCATACCCAAATACTGAAATTATTCTTATTTGCAGATAAACAACCCTTTTTTAATCAGTGTGTTATTTCTTATTTGCTTAAGAAAGATTGAAAACTTTGAAAGTATTTTTGTTTATAGTACATCATTAGATAGATATAGAAAAAACGAAACTAAATCTTTGTATTTGGAGCAACAAAATCAGAAGTTAATAAATTATTGTATTAATATATAATTAACATAAATTGTGTATTAATGAGAAGGATGAAGGTGGTGTTTCAACAAGAGTTTCAATATTAGTTTAAAATGTTATATACACAAATGTTATACATCTTTATACAAGGTAAAAATACGTAAAAACTATCAAAAGTTTCTTGTAACATACCATAAAGATAAACAACAGATATATCTTTTTGAAAAGTTGATATCTTTTATTGACTTTCAGTCTTAGTGATAACTTATGCATAATTCCTCTTGCATTGTCATATTTGAATCGTGAATCTTACAATATGAGATAATTCTTCTTCTTCTAAAATAGGTTAAAACCTGTTCCTACATCGGTTTTACTCCCATCTATGTATATGTTGCCATTCCAACTATTTCTTGGGCGTCCAATACTTCTTCTGCCGTCAGGTGATGCTTGGATGTCTCTTGCTACTGGCACAACTTTGTTGGTTGTCATTCTATTGGTTCTATTCTTGTTTTTTATTAGTAACCATTCGTTAATATTTTCTATTTTGCATTTCTTTCTTATAGTTTCATTTCGCCGTCTATCCCATAAGGCTATCTCCGAAATCTTCCTAAGAATTTGCATCTCAGTTATCTCAAGAAGTCTTCTTGTTTCCTCATTATAAGTCATAATGGGCTTTATCGTTGTTTTGTTTAGTCTTATAAGTACGATGGCTTTCACCGCCGGTGTGAGTAACTAAAATTAGAACTAACACTAGAAACTTTCGGGCTTTGCCGTGCGTCCTTTAAGAAACAGTTTGACGTTTCGGATGCCATGATGCAACCTTTTTCAGAAACCAGTTCGAAGTGATGTTGTATATTCTTGTTTTTGTATATTAATGTTTATTTCTTTAAATCACTTGGTTCTTACCGAAACTTGTTATATTCATATTCTTGTTGTTTTTTTTTATAATAATCTAATTAACTTGTTCTTCATCACACCACTTAGAAGAATTTTAATACTTGTATTAATTGCAAATGCTTTAGTCTGAAATGTTATACAGTACATACCCTGCCCATTGCAGCTTTTGGAGTCAGATAAACTGTAAGACGCAGGTTTTTCCGAGGAGTTGAGTGAATTTACTCATTGGTATATCTGGACATGTCGAACAACGAGTGTGACCTATTCCTTTTGGATGTTTGAAACTTTAATGGATTTTACCAAAGATGTTATTAGTCCAAATTGTATATTAGGAAACCTTCAGCCTCCTTTCACGGAAGAAGATTCCATTATACAAGACACAACGGGCGTATATTGCAATGCAGATGATTGCTTATGTCGAAGTAGCTGAAACATTTATACGAGCATACTGTTCGTCGATTGCTATAAGGAAAAAAGACGATGTACAAGAAATAATGTTTGTGTTGGATGAATGAAAGGTTAATGCTATATTAAACATGAGAAAAAAGACAAGTGTAAGATAAGGGATAAGTGCGCAGCCCAAGGAGACTTTACAATAACAGATCCAACAGAATTTATATGGCTCAACGTACTCACTTCTCTCTGTATTCAGAAATACTCTTTTTTTAATTTTTTTAGTTTTTAACAGATTGTGGTTGCATTTTTTATAAATCTTTCTACTCCCGTTTAAATGCCATACTTCCTCCATACTTCAGTTTTAAGCAAGATTTAATGAAAAATTTAGCTACATTAGCAACAATGTAGCAAAAGATACTGCCCTGACGCTCTGCTGTACCATTGCTCACCGCTCTTATTGTACCCAGGGCCTTATGCAACACTGTCATCGTTTATAATCCCCGCCTTTGAGCACGTATTTTGCTGAAGAATGTTATCAAACTTTACAACAAAATTGATTGAATCGTATTGATGCAACGGAAGATCGCTTGTTGCACTATTTTATAACATGTTCGATTATTTACCAAATTGAATACCATTACTTAAAAAAGTGTTTTGAAAAGATTATTTTTTGTCGGAGTCATCCAAGCATTATGTTTTTTGATACCCAACCTCGAAACACTCAATGCAGGAGATGCGAATGCCCTAGCTGTTGTAAATAGAGTACAAAATGTTATTGCAATACGCATCATGTATGAAAACATTGTTTGGTATTTGCCATGAAATATTACAAAATTCTTTGAAAATTAATTTTTTTCAAAAGTTCTTTTACTTGAAGCCAATAACGGCACACAACATTAATGTGGATTCAATATTTACAACATTCCTTGTTATAATAATGCAGAAAAAGGTCGTTTTGAAAGTTGAAAACAAAAATATAAAAAATAGTCTTGAAAATATTTTATCATACTGATAACTATGTTTTTCCATGTATATTTTATTGCTAAGTTGCATATCACTATTTGGGCCATATTAAATGTATTTATTTTAATTTTATTTCTTTTTAATTCAGTTTGTAGCTATTGCTTCTGAAGATACAAACATAAAACTAATAGATTTAGCCAACCCTAAAGAACTTCCAAGAAGTTATTTAGGCGTAAACGGGCCTCCATTAAGTGTAGCACTCTGCCCAGAAGCAAAAATATTAGCTGCAAGTGCTGGTGATGGCTTTCTGAGATTTTGGGATGTTGAAAGTTGTTCAACTTTAAAACAATTACAATGTGATTCTAAAACAAACAGTTTTGTTAATGCCACTTTATTATGTAAGATATCTACAATTATTTTAATCAATCAATAAAACTTTGTATTTGGTTTTAATAAATTAGGTCGAATGGATTTCGAGCCAACATCCGGAAAACACGTTGCTTATCCTCAAAAGAATACCGTGATTATTTTAAACACAACGGATTGGTCAAATGTGTGCACTCTCACAACGGATACAACTGATTCTAACTTTTCAATTGTACAATATTCACCTTGCGGTAAATTTATAGCCGCTGCAGCTATTAAAGGAGAAATTATAGTTTGGGCAGTTGAATCGCAAGAAATCGTTGAATTTTCTCAACATTCAAGTTCTAAGGCTGTTTGTGCTTTAGCTTGGAACCCATTAGGTAAAAATAAATACATTTAATGTAATTAAAAAAAAAAAAAAAATTCTCAAATTATTATAGGAAATGGAGAAATTGCTTTTTGCGACGTTGAAGGTGAATTAGGTGTTGTTATTGATTGTACAGCCAATACAACTCTTAAAGCAGACAATAAAAGTGATGTTGGCAATGATGTTGATTTTGGAGATATTCAATTTGATGATGATGATGAAGATAATGAGAATGCAGTGTCTTTGGAGAAGATAAAAAATAATACTATGGGCTGTTTTAATGATGACGAAGTAGATAAAGGTTAATTTTAATTATTTTATATTTTATTTATGTTTATATACTTCAAATATTTAGCTAGTTCTATTGGAACCCGACGATCTCGACCAGCCACTCCAGAAAACCCAATGCAAGCAACTTTTATGCCTTCATCAACTCCTGAACACTTGGATCCACGTTATCTTTGCTGGAATGAAGTCGGAATTGTTCGTTGTTACGGAAGTGTCAACGAAGAGGATGGAAATAAATCCATAGAGGCCGAATTTCATGATTCAACGTTTCATAGCAGCATGATGGTACAAAATTTTAATGGGTACACAATGAGTTCTCTTAGTACTTCAGTTTTTACATTGGCTAATTCAGAGTAAGATTATCGATTATTAACGGAAAAAGATTGAATAATTATTGTTTTTTAAATAGGCAAATACAAGTTATTCCATTATTATCAGGCACGAAAGATTGGATTTTAGCGGTTGAAGAAAATATAAGTATAATTTGCATAGCAGCTTCAAGTAAATTGGTTTGCTTTGCAAGTTCAAATTATTTGGTTCATGTTTGTACAACTTATGGTACTCAAAAGGGGGTGTTTTCAATACCTGGACCTGTCGTTTGCATGTCGGCTCATGATTCGTCGTTGTTGATTGCTTATCATAGTTCAAAACCACGAGGCGATGATCAATGTTTAAAATTAATGTTGGTTAAATTTGAAGGTAAGATTATTTTTAATTAAAAAGGGGCAAAACACTTTTTTAATGCTTCAAGGAATAAATTAGTAATAATCAATTATACAACAAAATAAAATAACTATAAAATTGAACGAAATAGAATAATGTAAAAACAATATACTATTATAACACTACAATTGCAATTACAATCAGACAGACATTTAGTTACTTTTTGTAAGATATCGATTTTGGAGTCGCCAACAGAAAATCTTCAGGTAGTCCGTCATATGCTGTCCTAGTAGATATTCTTCTGTAATATATTTTATGGTTTGCATATGCAGAAGGGCGGCAATGTCTTGCCCCATTTTGCAGAAAGTAGGCACATTACCATGCTGGATCAGTATTCTGTTTAGAGTTGACCAGGTTTTGCGTGGTCAATCAAAACTGATTGTTCTGCTTCCATTCAACATGGATGCCATGTTTGGGATCCATTCTTAATGCCAAACATTACACAGCCTGAATTCTTCATCTGTGGCAATGCCTGCTGCTTTGATCGATGACTTGCTGGAGCGGAGGCGGGTGTGATTTGATCCTCAATCTCCTCGTGTATTGAGAGGTTTTAACTGCTCAAGATCTCCTTGTATTCTCTCGTGAGGGCATTTATGCGGCATAGGTTTGGGGGTACATTGCTCAGTACTGAGAGCAATTCCACTGAAGCAGACTTGATGACCCTGGAGGTCATTCTCATCGTGTTATTAAGTTGAGCATCTATTTTGTAGACATGAGGACTGTTAAGCCACGCTGGTGTGTGCCCACAGTATGCAATGATTGAGAAGACTAGGCTCAGGGCTGTTGAGAGCAGGGTTGGGTTATGTTGGGTTGGGTTGGGAAGAGGTCGACGCTCCCCATGTTTTTTACACTGTTTTGTATAATACAGGGTCGCTGATATGTATGGAAACGGTCAGTTATCTCCTAAAGTAAGCTAGTAAATGTTAAGATACAAAAGTTCTATAGTTTTTTAAAATCTATTATAATAAAGACAAATTAGGTATACAGGGTTAGTCACAAAGTTATGACGAAACTAGGTTACGTTTTTTTTAATGGAACATCCTGTATATTAGTGGCGGAATAGATATCCGGCCGGATTTTAAAAAATGACCGGATAGTTACCAAATATCCGGCTTTGGGTGGATATTAAAAACCTATTAGTTAGTACTCCACCATTCACATCAATTACTATGCTATTAATCTTACTATGCTATGTTAAACTTAAGATCGGAGTTACCTAAAGATGCGTTTTTGCAATTGTACTACTCCCTCGTATATTCCCATATTTCTTACGGCATATTACTTTGCGGCAAAGCGCCACCTACCATCAAGAGGCTTTTCGTTTTGCAAAAGCGCGTAATAAGGTTAATATTTAACTTAAAACAGAGGGATTCCTGTCGTCCTGTGTTTAGAAAACACAAAGTGTTGACGGTAATTGCGATATACATATATAAATGTTGCCTGTACGTGAAATCTAATAGCGACAAATTTAAACCCATACCGTCCCACCACGCATATAATACTAGAAACATCAACATATTAACTTTAGACTTGCACAACTCGGCATTGTACGAAAACTCGCCGCTCTACTCGTGCGCCAAAATATTTAACAAATTACCAAATGATGTTAAATCTTTACCTTTGGACAAATTTAAAATTACTCTTAAAAAAGGACACGGAAGCATGCTACTATTCTCCGGATGAATACTATAACGATTAGTTTATTATTTTCTCGGTTTATTGTGTATTTATACTATATTGTGTACTTATTTTTGACATACCTTATACTACTAACTATAGTCTGAAAGGGTGAATAAAGGTGATTTGGTTTGATTTGATTAGTATCTCTTTTAGGTGTTGGACACTGCAGATAATAATCAAATTCAACCCCAATATGACTTTTTTCAATAAATACAACTTTATTTATATCAGATTTGTAATTAGCAACCTCATTGTAACAATGCCAATACGATATATAAAATCCCTTGTTGCAGTTTCGTCTAGTTTTCTTCTCTTCGCTTGTAATTCTTCATCATATTCATTACTAACAGAACTGTCGTTGTTACCACTTTCGATTATTAATTAAAGTATTCTTTTTTTAATGCAAAAAGCCGTTTTGAAAAATCAGTTTCAGTTCTTGAGAAATAAATTTTTGAAATGATCGACAATTTTTTTGAATTTTTGCAATTTTCGCCGATTAAGTTTTAAAAATTCGTATAAAATCCATTTCTTGGAATATGAGTATATAAAAATTTCCCAAAGTGTTAATAAAACTATCCTATTTCCAATGAACCAACCCGTTTTGAAAAATAACTATTAGTTTTTGAGAAAACAATATTTGAAGTTTTGACAAAATTTTCGATGTTCCAATTTTCATCGATAATTTTCAAAATTCGCTAAAAAATTAATTTCCTGGAGGATCCTTGTGGAAATATCACCAATTATTAATTAAAGTATCCTCTTTTTAGAGTTGCTTCGTTAGTTAAATCAGCATCAAAAAAGTTCATTTTGTATCTTGGATTCAAATAAGTTGACATATCTTATCAGCTTTCTTATTAATTTCATTTTTATTCAAATATTGCAAGAATGTGGGAATGTAGGGTATCACTTCAGAAATGCACCAAAAATTGTAACCATAATGACTGGATAACCGTATATCCGGCTTTTCGCAAAATCACTATCTGTTCCATCACTACTGTATATTATTCCACTTTGTTTCTTCATAACTTTTTGACCGACCCTGTATACTTAATTTGTCTTTATTGTAATAAATTTTAAACACTAAAACTGTTGTATCTTAACATTTTTTGCCCGCTATCTTACTTTAGGAGGTAATTAATATATAATTATATTTATATCAATTTTATTACAGGATTATCATTACATAAAACAGATTTAGAAAATACTTTGGGACCTGAATGTACACTTAATTGGATGGGATTTACCGATATGGGTTCACCCGCTCTTTTAGATTCCAACGAAACACTTTTTATTTATTTAACACGTTCAAACATTTGGGTACCAATCTGTGATACAAATCAACACGTAATTATTTCATTAATTACTTAAAATTTACTTTATTAATGTTACTTTTTAGACTGCAGCTGCCGCTGACGGATTTTTCGTTACGACAGTCTCAGAATCACTAGCTACCGTTATTGGGATTAGATGCAAAGGAAGTAAATATCCTAATTTCGTCCCAAGACCAACGCTCTCCGAATTACCCCTTCAGCCGACTTTTGTTGAAATTACGAGTGAAAAAGCTCAATTAGGTGCGAATTTGTTTATGTGGAGTAACTTACAGGTTGAAGATACGGAGAAGAAATGTAAAGAAGCAGCTTTAAAATCATTTGCTGTAAGATATAGAAAACATAAATACAAAATGAATAATTTTTTGATTTGTTTAGTTAGCTTGTAAAAATTCTTTGGATCAAAGAGCTTTCGAACTTATTGAGTTGGTTCAAAATAAACAAGTCACCAATTTGGCTGTGAAATACGCGACTAAATTGGAAAGAAAACGGCTTTTGGAGAAGTTGATTGAGTTGCAGGCTAAGTTAGAATCTGAAACTGGAGATGAAATAACTGTAAATAATTTTATTTGTTGCAAATTAAATTATTTTTAAAATTTTTTTTAATAGGAATTGTCGCAAATTGAACAAAGGGCTGTTGTAAAACCTAATAGAAAATTACTTATGAATCTTTCTGATAGAAGTACACCTAAAAATAAGTTAAGGAAACATTTGGTAAATTATTATAAAAAATTAACATGAATTATTGTTATAGTTTTTATTTTTAGAATATGGAAAATATTGAGAATACTTCTAACAATTTAAATGCACAAAGTTTACCATCAACCCCAACTTTATTAGTTGATAATTCTTTTGATACTAATACAACAATGGGTACAACACAAGTTAGTAATAATAAATGTTTTTGTTCGACTTTTTAATCAAGCATATTTTTATTAATTTATTATTATAGGATATTGAAGAAACAAAAAATCCGTTTGCAAAGAACTTGAAAAAAGCGACCCCAACAACATCAAACCCATTGAGTTTAACCGATAAATTTGCTGGATACAAATTGGATTTAAAAGAGAATGTAAGTATAGATCTTATACAGGTTCGATTTAAAATATTTTCAAGGTGGCTGCCACTTCCGGTCTACCGGAAGTAGACCATAACTTCGTTATTTTAAATGGAATGCTATAGTTTTTATTATATTTTTTAATTGTACTTAAAAAAGTATGTTGACTTCCATAAAAGTTATTGGTCTAGCGTCTTTCATTTGCGAGTTATTTTGATTGTAAGTTTTTTTTGGCAAATTTCACCTTGCTTTTTAAAACGCCATATCCCAGCCAACGTTTATTTAAAAAAGCTCTAAATTGACATGATTACTCTTTAGATGCTGTCAAATAGATTGTCATTTATTGTATCAGAGTATCTTATACAGGTTGGTCAAAAATTGTATTACCGTTTCTCCATATTCAACCGCAAGAAAGTCGAAAATCTTAAATGGAACGTCCAATATTTTATTAGCCTACCCGAAAGGGAATTTAATTCTCTACAATTTATCTATAGACATTCCAATACTTATTTATTGTAGTTTTTCTCATATGGAGAAATTTATCAAAACATGCAGGAAATACAGGAAACCGTTTGTATTTTTATTAGAAGGCCATAACATTTTGACAGTTTTTCGTATAATTTACTTCTATCATTATTTGTACTGGTAACTACGATTGATAATCTTTCACTTTACTAGCTTTTACTTACTAAAAATAATAAACAGAAGTTCAAAGAAATGAACCAATTAAAACAAAAGTTAGATTTGGATAAAAATATAAATTTATAATATAAATTTGTTATTAAATTGAATTTGGAAATACGATAAAATACGATAAACTATTTATTTCGTTGTTTTCACAACTGGTGAGCGGAAATATGCGGTTTCTATTGGTCTCGATATGTCCAAAGCTAAGAAATTTTTTATCAATTTGTTGACATTTTTCCTTGTGATGGATGTTAGGTTTGTTAGGCATCTCTCATTAAGTGTTCGACACGTCCTGTCCAAAAGTTTATTACATTCGCCATCAATACAATAGTATATTACAGTACAAGTGAGGAAACTATGATTTTTCATTAACGCGTATGTCGGATTCTCGCCTTCGGCTCGTGTGGAAAGACATACAAGTTAGTGGAAAAACTTTCCCACGTGTGCTGTATAGCGTTTTGTCCAATCCTACTATTTAGAGAAAACCCGTCTTAAAATTCGATAATTCCTGAGTAATTTTATGTCGACATGTCGGCGATGACAGNCCACCTGTTCTCGTTCTCGCAAGTAAGATTGGAACAGCTTGAGGGGTAACCCCCTCACACCGTAGTGCTCCAATTTGTCAAGTAATAGAGCATGATCCACAGAATCAAATGCCTTTCTTAAGTCTAAAAATATTGCCATAGCATGCTTAGAATTATCTAATGATTCGTAGATCATCCCCGTTAGCTCAGCTATAGCATCAGAGGCACCCCTCCCCTTTCTAAAACCAAATTGAAAATCAGATAAAATTTTATGCTTCTCTAAAAAGTCATTTAACCTCACGTAAATTATTTTCTCTAAAATTTTTGCGAAGCTGGTAATGAGTGAGATCGGACGATAATTGTTTACATCCTCTGCGGACCCTTTTTTAAATAAAGGTTTGACAACTGATTTTTTAAGACTACGAGGAAAGTGCCCCTCATCTATTATCCTGTTATAAACAATACTAAGTGGTTCAGAAATTTCATGTGCTATCTTTTTTAAAACGGTTGCGCTCAGAGTATCATGCCCAGAACTTAACTTATTTTTTAAGTTATTGATTACCCTTTCTACTTCGTTCTTAGATGTTGGAGTAATAAAAATCGAGTGGCTGTTACGCGGAACAATTGATGTGATATCGAATTCTGGATAGGTTTGAACCATAGTATTAATGTTGTGTACATTGAGAAAATGGTCATTGAATGCATTGGCAATATCACTATCAGCCAAAAGCTTTTGACCAGACACAGTTAATTGTGCAGGTGACTCGCAACGTTTTTCCTTATTTAATATAGATTCGGACAACTTCCACATCTTTCCCCCGTTTTTATTAACCTGTAATGCCAACTTTTCGTAATAATTTAACTTTAATGATTGAATTAGTATGGGTTTGTTAGGCATCTCTCATTAAGTGTTCGACACGTCCTGTCCAAAAGTTTATGACATTCGCCATCAATACAATAGTATATTACAGTACAAGTAAGGAAACTATGATGTTTCATTAACGCGTATGTCGGATTCTCGCCTTCGGCTCGTGTGGAAAGACATACAAGTTAGTGGAAAAACTTTCCCACGTGTGCTGTATAGCGTTTTGTCCAATCCTACTATTTAGAGAAAACCCGTCTTAAAATTCGATAATTCCTGAGTAATTTTATGTCGACATGTCGGCGATGACAGCAGTTTTTGACATTGTCATGCTCTTAATTGATATACAGTGCCTCACAAAAGTATTCGGAAAGTCTTGTTTTCACCCAAAAAATGCAAAATACGGTGTTTATTATTTCGATTTTGAGATTAAAAACATTCTTNATTCAACCTCATTATTTAGTTAAACTGCTGTTTTTTTTGTATTTATGTTGAGAAAAAGTTTAGTTTTTACGTTTCAATAAAAGTTTATACCACTATGAAATAATATTGATTAAGTTTTTGTTTTAAATGAAAACTAAAGAAAGTTGTTGTTACTCTCCTGTCCCATAAACTGATTTCCGAATACTTTTGCGAGGCACTGTATGTAAACAGCCATTTGTGTCAAATTGTTAATTGTCATCATTATGCATAAAATTAATAAATTGATTAAAATTAATAACTTATACAAGTGAAATACTTAATTAACTTTCCACGTGTGCTGTCCACCGTTTTTTAGTTAACATCGGTTACGTTTAAACAAAGAGTTGTTCCTTTAAACAAATTAGAATGAGGGAAAAAATTTTCACTCACTCGTTTCTATGAAAGTCAGCAGAGTGAATGCAAATAACAACTTTCAACACTTGTATCTAAGTTAGAAACTCAAAATTTCGAAGGTAGGATTGAACAAAATATATTTCAAATATCGGGGTTGGAATAATCTGTCATGAGTCATGACGTTCAATGACTTACACTTGTCATCAAATATAACTAATGACAACAATAATACAAACATGGACCAAAAACTGTCAAAATTCCATACCTTTCTAATAAACAAAGCTGCATTTCGTGCATGTTTTAATAAATTTCCCAATATGAGGCAAACTACAATAAATAGGTATATGAATGTTTATAGATAATTTGTAGAGAATTAAACTCCCTTTCTGATAGGCTAAAAAATGGGGCATTCCATTTAAAATTTTCGACTTTCTCGCCATTGAATATGTAGAAACAGTAATTCAATTTTTGACCACCTTTATAAGATACTCCGATACAACAAATGACAATCTAGTTGACAGCATCTGAAGAGTAATCGTGCCAATGTAGATCTTTTTTGAATGAACGTTGGCTGAAGTATGTTTAAAACCAAAATAACTCGAAAACGAAAAACGTTAGGTACCAATAACTTTGATCAAAGGTAGCCTATTTTTTACGTACAATTAAACGGTGTAATAAAAACTATAGCATTCCATTTAAAATAACGAAGTTATGGTCTACTTCCTGTAGACCGGAAGTGGCGGCCATCTTGAAAATATTTGAGATCAACAAACGTGAGACACCTGTATATGCCGTCTTAACTGAAATTGTTACTATGAATAGTTTTGCGTGCCCTTCTTCTATTTTCTAAGGTTAAAGATAATAATAATAATAATAATAAACTGTTTATTGAGCCAGAAATAATGATAACAGAAACAAGATACAAAATTATTTGACCAGAAACAAAAAAAAAATAATAAATATAATTAATAAAGCAAAATAAAATAATCCTTACAACTAAAAATAAATAAAAAAGTATTCAAATTACAATGGCTCAAATGGTACAAGAACAGAAAAGGTAGCAACACTACCACTGATTTTAACTTGTACCAAGACAAACAAAAACAGAAAAAAAAACAAAATCGTACACTGAGTAGCATCTTAAAAAAAATTATTTTTTTTAAACCATCAAAAACAACAAAATCAAAATTTACAATTCTCATCCTCAACTCTCATTCAAAAATCAAAAATTAGTATCCCGAGTCTTCCGAATAATCAACCACCTAAACTGCGCGGCTGAGCAAGCACATCTAGCCTCGACAGGCAAGGAGTTCCATAGTTGCGCAATCCGGTAAGAGAAGGAACGACAGAACTTAGCAGACCGGTGTGAAGAATCCTATAAATTAGACACGAATAATGCACACGGAATGTATTATTCACTCTGTTTCATATTCAGCCAACCACTAGACATTAGAAGGGGGAAATATGATCTCTTCGTTTAACGCCATTAACAAAGCGCAAGCAAGAGTTTTGCACAACTTGTACCTTGTGCATTGATTCAAAAGACAAGCAAGATCTAAAAACAACACTACAATAATAAACGTAATAACTACGTAATAATAATACGTAATAAACGCTTAAGCTCAATAGACAAAAATTTCCGACATAAAGCGCGCGCACGCCGAATCTCTATATATGAGTTAAAATTGATGAAATCCATGTTACCAGTCAAAAAATAAATGGTCAAAAATGAAAGACAGTTTCAATGTACCTTAACTGGTTGCAAAATTTTTTATTTTTCGTCTGACTAGTTTCGCCTTATAGAGACTTCGTTAAATATGTGAAGTTACATCCATTTTATCAAAAAATAACTATAGAATTGACTGATTATGTTGTAGAACATTTCTTAATACCGAAAAATACCATAAAAATTAGTTAAACTTTTAAAATTAAAGACGAGCACGTTACAGTTTAAAATGGTTGAACTACGTCTTAAATGGTCGACGTAGTTTATTTTTTTACACGGAAACTATTAACTTTAATTTTATGTTAATATTCCGTAACGTTAAAAAGATCTTACAAAAAAAAATCAAGGGGATGGTGAATTTCATCCCCTTACAGGGCGCTAGGGAAGTTTAAGGTATGCTTGAAAATAAGGTCTTAACCAGTAGTAAATACGTGGAAAGTTTCAAATTCTACCTTTTACTTACAGCCGAAATACAAAACAAAATGTAAATTTTTGGCTCAACTTTGAGCGCTCATAGCTCGAAAACAAAAGAGTTGTGACCCTATGTTTATATAAAAAACTTGTGTTATTTTGGCAAGTACTACATGCTAGTAAAGTTTCCCGATTAAAAACTGAACCACCTGTATACAGGTGTCCGGTATCTTCCGTATTAGAGCATTATACGGTTGTAGGATACATTATTCTGAAGCGATCTTTCTAATAAAATTTTTTCGAAATGTTTATAATAACCACACGGGAACTGTTTAAAGTCATCCGCTATTGTTCAATAGCAGACGTCTTTGATTCACCGAAAAAGTTTATTTCTCTTCCCGTGTCGAATCTATTGGTAAGTACACGTGAGAAACGTGTTATGAACGGCGCGGCGGTCCGACCGAAGGTTACGCCGATTACCTGAATCTGATTTACGATTTGCCATTGGACTTTCAAAAAAAAATTATTAGAAAGATCGCTTCAGAATAATGTATTGTACAACCGTATAATGCTCTGATGCGGAAGATGCCGGACACCCCTGTATAGTAAACATGCGTAAGAATATTTTACGTATCTGAACAATAAGTTGTGCGAGGTAAGAATGATGACTCTGTTTGCTTTCTGACAAAAAAATATAAAAACAATATATCTGTCTTTTTACAGATTTTGCATGACTTTACCTTATCCGGTCGTTAAAAAACATATAAAATTAGTTCATTATAGCCGAGATCTCGTTATACCCGATCCTCGTTATAACCGACATTTTTAACATTGTAAGGGTAGGACTTTTGACGCGACCTGAAGGCATGCTCGTTATAACCGGTTTTCACTGTATTACAAAATTTAGTTAGCAAAAATACAAAATTTGCAGATACAATTCAGCTTAGGACGGCAGATGTGTTGTATGTTTATTTTAACTTTAACATACAAAACTGATTTATTATTTTTTATTCTCTATTTATTTTTTAATTACTAAAATCAGGGGGCAAAACGTAAACAACCTGAAACAAATATAGAAGCAACGAATCCAAAAGAAAAACAACGAAAATTAGCACAATTTAGTTTTACAAAGAAGACTTGAAGATTAGTTAAGTTTTTTTTATTATTAGAATAAGCTTTTTCAGTCTACATTTTTTATTTAATTGTATTATTATATATCATTTTCGAATATTATATTTGTTAATATTTTTAATTAACTTTATTTTATTTTCTTCCAAATTAATATCCTTTTTTCCTCGGATCATGGAATAATCCTTTTGCAAACATCGCTTCCCACTCGGTTCCTGTAGGATACTCAAATTGTTTAATTGCCTCAGCTTTTAACGTTGTATTATAACCAGCAGCCTAAAAAACGAGATTTAAAAATGGTTTAAAATTAATACACAACCTTACTCTAGGTGACATATATTTAGCATTTTCGATCACCACCGGATGTTCAAATTGATCATGTTGTTGATCGACATACTCAATAACCCTGTCCTCTTGAGTCCCCGATAGACACAAAAAGTCCCACATTTGTAAGTGTTGGACCATTTCACAAAGTCCCACACCTCCAGCATGAGGACAAACTTTGACTCCAAATTTGTGTGCCATTAAATAAACGCTTAGTATCTCGTTAACTCCGCCGATTCGAGCGGAATCGATTTGACAATATTGAATGGCTTCCGCTTGAAGGAATTGTTTGAACATAACGCGATTACAGCACATTTCCCCAGTTGCCACGCCGATTTTTAGTGGATGTAAAGCTTTGGAAATTGTGGCGTGCCCAAGAATATCATCGGGAGATGTTGGTTCTTCGATCCAAGTTAGTTTGAAACGTTCGAGTTTTTTCATCCATTCAATCGCTTGATCTACGTCCCAAACTTGGTTTGCATCAACAGCCAATTTGTTTTCCCAGCCGATTATATTCCGTACGGTTTCTAAACGTTTGATATCGTCGTTTATATCTCTTCCAACTTTTAATTTGAAGAAAGTGTAGCCCTCATTTAAATATTTTTGGCAAAGTTCGACTAAAGTTTCTTTTGTATAACCCAACCAACCTTTAAATTGATTTAATTGATTTTAATGATTATGTTGATGTTGTTATGATTATTTAATTACCAACTTGCGTTGTATACGCTGGATATCCTTTTTCTAAAAGATACTTCATTCTTTCCTCTTTGCCTTCAGCAGCTTGTTTTAGCATATCGATCGCTTCATTTTTAGTTATTACATCGGAAATATAGCGGAAATCGATTAATGATACTAAATGCTCAGGGTCCATGTCGGCTAAAAGCAACCAAACTGGTTTGTTTAAGAGTTTCCCCCATAAATCCCATAAAGTGTTGATAATAGCTGCAACTGCTAAATGGACAACTCCTTTTTCTGGGCCGATCTAAATCAATTTTGTTACAAATTAAGAATGATTTTAATTAATTTTTAACAAACCCATCTTATTTGACTTTCACTGGTTAATGACCTCCAAAATGAAGCAAAATCTTTAAAAATATCTACAGCCGTTTGACCCACAACTAAAGGTTCTAATGATTTAATCGCTGTTACAACAATTTCGGTTCCTTTTCCGCAGGTAAATGTTAAACCATTTGCCGTGTCACCTCTAATTGTTTTTATTGTAACATAAGCGCAAGAATAATCTGGATCAGTATGCTAAAATAATAATAAAAAAAGTAAACGTCACATGCTTTATAATCATATGACCCATAAAGTTGTTGATAAGAAATTGTTTATTAAAAAAACATATTTAAAAAAAAAGTAAAGTTCAATGATCTCTATTTTTAGAATAATGTTATTCAAAATAAATTGATTTAACTTTAAATATTTTAAATTAATCTTACCATGGCATCTGATCCATGCGCGTGTAAAGAGGTTGGAAAGCGAATATCTTTAACGTCCATAGAGACAATTTTAAGATTTTCTCGAGTATCCATGATTTTGTTGGTTTAAAATTGTTTCTCTTAAAACGTTAATTATTTCGTTGAACGGTCCAAATTACTTCTGAAACGCCGCCGGAGACAAAATCGAAAATAAACGAGCAGATAAACAGCGTTATCAGTTACTCTCTTACTTAAATAAATGCCCAGATTTAACTGAATCTCTTTTTTAAAAATCACATGATTATTATGCACATATATTGTTTAAACTGTTTAACGTGACTTGTTTATAAGAACGCTTAGAGAAGTTGTGTTAAATGAATTCATTAATTTTATGTTAAAATTGCTTTTTTTAATTTTATTTAGGTTTAAACCAGATAAAAATATATAAAGAAAAGTATCCAAATGGAAAATGTTGCCAAAAGTTTATAAATCGAACTAAGAGGTGATCAATAATAGAGCTAAATCGTATCATATAATTTAAAGTAAATATTTAATATATGCATATGCAATTATGCAAATATATGCAAGAACAGCTGTTGTTATTACAAATAAAACAAAAAAATTCATGGGTTTAGACGTGCTCTATTAAAATAGATTATAATTTCAGATGCCAGAAATTCACAGATTTAGTGTTCTATAAAATGAAAAGTGGGGGTATTATGTAAAAGACTAAGAATGCTCTAACTTGGATGCCAAAAGAAGAAATTAGATATGATAAAAACATCATAACATATGAAAACATCAGATATCCTTCGAGCTGTACCTGGAGAACTGGACGAGTTTTGAGTTTTGGCCCTATACTTACGACTACGATTTACCACTTGTGCAGGCAAGTGTTAATACATCGTGTACATACAGGATGTATCATAAGGAATGGTACATACGTTAATATGTTATAGATTTGTTCATATTAAGCAGAAAAGTTCCTATGAACATGTGCTTAATTCTCAAAGGTAACTGAGATACAGCCAGTTAATGCATAAATTAATATCACGCACGGCTATTGTGAAACAGTCATTTGTCAATGTTTGACATTTAACATTAATATGTCGACTAAGTTGTTGATAATGCCACATATTGGCTCATGCAGAACAAGTTGATATGGTGTCATGACTATAGGAGACGGTTTCCTAACCGAGATTCCAGATTGCATGAAACCGGTTCTGTTCTAAGAATAAGTAATGAATACTCAACGTGCAGGTGAGCAAAGTCTGAATGAAATTGAACAAATTCTTCAATCGGTAGAACACAGCCCATCTACCAGTACAAGACAACTTTCTCCTCGTCTTGGTGTTCCTCATGTGAAAGTATTACGTACTACTCATGGCTTGTATCCATTCCATGTTCAACTAGTACAATACCTTGAACCAACAAACTGTGCCAGAAGATTAGAATTTGGTGGATAGGTAATATCTAACCGGTTGGTTCCTGTAATACTTTTTACCGATTTTTACCAAAGCCACTTTCACTCGTAATGGAATCAATAATAGTCGAAATGATCACCGTTGGTCTGAGGATAATCTGCATGCCAGTGTTGAAACAAATTTTCAGGTAAAATTCTCTGTGAATGTATGGTGTGGAATGACTGACAATTCACACCATTCTTAATTGGGCCTTTCGTACTGTCCGAGCGTCTAACAGCGGGCAGATGTTTAGAGTTCTTGCGCAATGAGCTTCCAATACTGTTAGAAGATATTCATTTGGCTACCAGAGCCAATATGTTGAGCTAATATGGAAAAATAAACACACTACTGCTAGTTGATTTACTAACAATCTATAAACCAGACGTCCGACTGTGATCTATCGTAATTCCGATCAATACCACGTCATCTAGTCAGAATCGCTTCATCTAGGTTTTGTCACCTTTTATAAGAAACATGTACAAGAAATCATGAATCGATGGAAACAATCTTCCAAACTTCCAAAAGTTCATTACCACGAATACACCGCTGGTCCAATATGAGTTAAACCCATGAATTAAAGTATTGGGGAGAACGACTTACAACACTGAATACAGTAATAGTAGAAATATGGAAAATAGAAGACATCCCAGACGAATGGCGTACCAGCATAATTTGCCCTATATATAAAAAGAAGAGATAAATCCAAGTATGAAAATTATAAGGGAATATATATAACGCTACTAAGCACAGCATATAAAGTGCTCACGAGAAGCTGACTTCAGGCCGGGTAGCTCAACACCTGATCAACTCTTTAGCACCATACAGCTCTATGAAGTTGAGTTCTGGGACTTTCAATAGACACTTCAAATAAGCATACGACAGCGTTGACAGAAACAAACTCTAAATCATAATACGCTACCTCAATATACCAAATTAATGACAGAAGTCAAATGCACAATGTAACATTGAAACCTTTGGAAATCTCGAAACCACTAGAAGAGAGGTTGGTCTAAGGATAAACGAAGACAAAACCAAACTCTTGATTTAAAGTAAGAAACGGGATATCGTATTGGGCAAAATGTTACAATTGGAGACTACAACATCGAAGTTGTGGACAACTTCAACTACCAGGGCAGCAAAGTTAACATCGAAAACGATGAGACTCAGCAAATACAAAAACTAGTAGCCACCGGAAATCGCGCATTCTATTCCTTTTTACCTATCATGAAATCCCGAAACATTGAGACACATAAAATTGATGTGAGTCCGCTGGGTGGCATATTTTATTGGTGCAGAAGTTTATGGCAAGAACTTCTGCTTGGAAAATTGTTATGTCCGAGCTGAGGGACAGTTTATTGTGGTTATTTGGTCCACTGATGCCCGGAATACCTGCTCCGGATCTAACTATCTTTGAAGCATCGGTGTACCAGGCTAGGGCTCCTCTTTTTAATTGAGGGTCACCCTTCGCCCAATCATCCCTGCTTCTAAATATGACCTCATACGGCTGGTTGAATTGTATTCTGTCGGTATAAGGTCCGTATTAATTCCAATCAGCTGTCTTATGTTTTATTTTTGGCCACCAAACCAATGAGGCATAGGCGACCATGGGTCTGATTATTGCTATGTAGGCCCAATGAGCCATTTGTGGTTTGAGATCTTAGTTCGTACCTAGGAGCCTGTGGTAGATCTGGTTTAGCATGATGGCCTTTTTCCTCATTTTGTCTAAACCGGCCCATACACGGTGATGCAAAACTGTCACATTTGCACGCAGAGCTAATGCACACGAGCAAATGTGATCGTCTATGTCTCAAAACTGACGACGCTGTCAGGTCTAGACATGGCACGATACGATCTGGTTGAGCATGATTTTGCACGGCCCGCCGCGTGCAAGTTTGTACGTGTGGAGATAGTTCATGCCATTCTTCTCAGTTTTAAATTGATCTTCGCAAGAGTAATATTAAAATTATTACGAAATGGCTGTGCGTAAGCAAGAAGATGTTATGCGAGATTTTATAAGTGTTTATCAAAAAAATAGTTGTCTTTGGAAAGTGAAAAGTGCCGAATACATGGATCGAAATAAAAAGGATGAGGGTTACCAGCTACTGGTGGAAGTTTTTAAGCAAATAAACCCTGCTGCGAACATTGACTTAGTAAAGAAAAAAATTAATTCAATGAGGAGTTGTTTTCGAAAAGAATATAAAAAGGTCATAGAATCCAAAAAATCTGGTGCAGGCAGCGAGGACATCTATACTCCTTCTTTGTGGTATTTTGATTTGTTGATGTTTCTTAAAGACCACGAAGTCCCCAGAAACAGCATAGCAACCGATGACCCTGATTTCATGACTAGGCAGACAGGAGTGTATTAGTTTGTTGTAAAAATTTGTATTTTCTATAACACCGCCGTCCGAAATTCTGCCATTGGTACCGACGTCGACGAGCAAGAATTCACAATTGCTATTTACAATACCTAACAAAACTATGCTGTAAAATCCTTTATAGTTATAGATAAATGATCCACTATTCGCTGGTCGTGCAATTCTGATGTGCTTGCCATCCACTGCGCCTAAACAATGAGGAAATTGCCATTTTTCTTGAAATTCCCGCGCTATCTGTATCCGTTGCGATTCAGTCGTTGGAAACTATAAAAATACAATTTGATATTTAATATAAGTAGTTGTTTTTTTTATAAAAGTGCTTACGCTTATGTAATCTTTGCTAAGAACTTGGCAAATTGCTGCACATGTATCAGGTATGATTTTACCTAATGACTGAGGTGATATGATTGCAGAAAACTTTAAGTCTTCAAAACACCGACCAGAAGCTAGAAACCGCAATGTCGTTGATAACCTTTCGTGAGGACTAATAGCTTTTCTCATTATCGTATCTTCCTTTTCTATTAGCGGCGTTACTAGATGTAGTAGTTCAATATATGTGTTTTCATCCATGCGCAAATAATTCCTATAGTCATCGACTTCTAACCGTAATTCGTTCAGTAAATTCGCGTGAGAATACTGTTTCCGTTTTTTCAGCCAATTTTTTACCCATTTTGTTCTCTTCCTTTCTTTCTTCTTCTTCACTACTATTGCGATAGCAGTAGCAATTAAATATAAATCATTTTGTCGTATTACATTCATTATAGTAACAAGTCACACCTTTTAGTCACAACTCACTATGAAACTGATACTAAAACTGACAAGTAAATTTGAACCGTGTGTTCCATCATTTTCGTTTCACATTTGCTCGCATGCAAACATGCTTCAGTTTTGCATCACCGTGTATGGGCCCCTTAAGTGTGAGTTCCAGTTTAGTTTACTGTTTAGTGTTACCCCCAGGTATTTAACTTTTGTTTTGGGGTTAATATTTCTGCTTTCAATGGAGGGTGCTTTTATTTGTAGCTTCCTTCACCGAATGAAAGGAACTATTTCGATTTTATTTGGTTTGATGCTGAGCTCATTGCTTCTACACCAAGTACTGGTGAGTAGTAGTAGGGCTTTCCGCATTAGTTGAGTTATGATTGTATCATATTTACTTCGGATTGTGATTAGCAGGTCATCAGCATACACCTGAATCTTGAATCCAGTCTTTGTTAGGTTCTTACACCATTTGATTGTTGACGGATGTATATCTTTTTCGTTTAGAGCCTTCTCTATGGATTTATAGGAGGTGTTATCAAAAATACCCTCTATGTCTATAAAAGCACATAGCTAGTCAAAGCATGGAGAGCAGTAATTGTTGAGTTTGCTTTCTGGTAAGCATGTTGGCTAGGGTGGAGTGGATTAGTGACAAGCATTCCATTCCTAAGGTATTGATTGATTACCTTTTCCATCCCTTTGAGGAGAAATAAGGTTAGGCTCATTGGTCTGTATGCCTTGGGATCGCTGTTTGAACGCCTACCACCTTTAGGTATGAAAAGTCCACCTTTACTTTCCTCCATAGTGTGGGTATATAGCTAAGGCTGTAGCTAGCTATATATAGGGATATTATTACTGGGAGCAGGTCTTCTAAGCCTCCAGGCGATTTTAGGGGCTTGAAATTAGAAATAGCCCACCTTACTCTGTTAGGTGTAAAAATGTTTCCAGCTATGCTGCGAACCCTATCTGATGGAGTGATGTGCGCTGTCTTCTGGTTTTCGTAGTTGACTACCAGCCAGCGTGCCTTAAATGTGGTGCCGAGGTACTTAGGCTTGATTTCGCTTTCGTGTCCGCTACGGTCCACTATTCTTGAGATGATGACCTCTTGAATAGCCTACATTTGGGCTGTTGTGGAGTTCACCTCTGGAAATAGGGAATCTGCAATTCCCATCTTTTTTCCTTCCAACACCTTCTTGAAGCTTGCAGCTGTAAGCTTTTGCCCCTGCGGAAAATTGCCTCCGCTAGGAACGCTACGTCTTTCAGTCGTCGCTCGTTTGGTGTTGTGCTTTCGGAACGAGGTCTTTTAGCCCTCTTCTTCTCCTCACTGATTAGGCTGTGTGGCCTTTGCTTCCTCAAGAGTCAGCTTTTGTTTGAGCAGCCACTTACTTAAGCATTTTCCGTGGCATATTTAGAAGGCAATCCGGATAGGAACGTTGAGCTTTAGCCTCGATTTGAACTGCAGCGCCATTGAAGAAAAAATAAAGGAAAGGTAAATTTAGGAAGGAAACACAAAATACTAGAAAAATCACCAACACAAACACACACAATAATAAATAAAATTAAACAAAAAAATTCATTTGAGAAAAAAGTTTATCTTTATTTCTTTTTAATGAGATTACAAGTTTAAAATAAATTATCACAGAAAAAAATAAATAACAAATTACGTCTTAACATCTTTTTTAATCAAATTCTGCTCCAATTGTTATACTAATACTTCCTGGTAAAATTTCAGTTTGGTGATACCATTTATTTGTATCAATGACAACTAAAAAAATTGAATTAAATGGATCCATGTTGCAAGTTCGGAAGTATATAAAAAAGAAAATAAAAACTTCTTACTTACTAAAATTTTTTTAAATTTATTCGGGACTAGTTTCGAGCCATTAAGCTCATCCTCAGCCAAATGGTCAAAATCACCATTAAAACAGGAAAATCAATATTTGAAACATTTGCAAAATCCTTACACTACATGAATAAAATACTATTTATAATTAAAATTAAACGAAGTTTTACACTTTATATAGATTTATAAATAGTATTTTATTCATGTAGTGTAAGGATTTTGCAAATGTTTCAAATATTGATTTTCCTGTTTTAATAGTGATTTTGACAATTCGGCTGAGGATGAGCTTAATGGCTCGAAACTAGTCCCGAATAAATTTTAAAAAATTTTAGCAAGTAAGAAGTTTTTATTTTCTTTTTTATAAACTAAAAAAACATTAAAATTGTATACAAAGCAAATACTTTCGCAAAATAACTTACTTATTTCACCTGGTTCAACAGTAATCTCCATTCTTTGACATTTATGCATACATTCAGGTGGTGGTGCTAACTTCCAAGTTTTTCTTCCTTTAATTTGAGCTTGCCAAGACGGATATGTAACATCATCGACATGCATATGAGCTCCAGATCCTTTCCCTCCCATAAAAATCCAATTTAACGCGATATTTTCGGATGTTATCGGTAAAAAATACGGGCGATGATAATAAGTTCTTAAAATTTTTCCAGCATCGTCATTACAATTACTCCAACCTATATACCAAGGTTTTGAACCAGGTTCAAATCGAGCACGCTCCGGATTCATGTTTAAAACATCTGATAAAGATTTAAACTCTGTTTTGTATGGAAAAAATTGGCATTCGAGTTTTATATCGGCGAAATTTCCGGTTGATTGATATAAATCTTTGAAAAAATCGAAACTAAAGTAATCAACAGCTTTCCAACCTTTTGTACCATCTGTTATAACTACTGGTTTTCCTATCGATGCGTAATTTTTATCAAAATCATCAGGAGAAACGTTATTAATTTTATCGACGGTCGTTACATTGATGCATATGTCACAATTTACTGGTCCACGAAACACTTTTGTTGTATCAAACGGAAATTCTAAGAAACACTAAAATGTATGAATTCAAATGTGTTATGATGTTTTTCGAGTATCATACAGGAAATGGGATATAAAATGAGTTATTTCCGTCATAAAAATTAATGTATAATGCGATTTTAATAATTTAATAATAAAAAAGATCAAATAATTAGCACTTACCTCATCATCACCTCGTAGCCCCATAAAAAAATAAACCATGTAAGCAAAAATTCCTATAAAAACCATGTATGAAATTTTTCTTTCAGAATTTTCAATTAAATTAGACGTCCCAATTAATTTCTTAACAACATCCAACTTTTTCAACTTTTCTTTTGATACATTACTTTGATTGATTTTCTCGAAAATCGCCAAAAATCTTTTCTCTGCTCTCTCCATGACGCTTGAATGCAAACTGTTTGAAAATTTTCAATCCCGCTCAATGACGATACAAATCCTTATCGCGGTCTTGCGGTTTGCAGCTGGGTGAATTCAATGTTGCGTGACTAATCAGTCAATTTTGCAGCCACCTGTGTCCGATAATGGGATCGTTTTGAGTGCTTCCTATTCGATACCATGTGGGACGATGTGGTGACGGTTAATAACGATCGAAACTTAATCATCTTTACTTCGTTATCACGTTACGAAACTGCATCACTTTAGATTTATTCGGTACTAACGCATTTATAAACGGCTACAAAGTCCGTTGATTAAGCTTATTTGGAATGAGTTATGATTGGTCGTTGGAGTAATTGAGGACGTTAATGGAGAGAAAGTTGATATGAGACCAAACGAGTTTTTTGGGTCAGGTTTAATTAAAAGAAAAATTAATAAAAACCTTTAAGTTATCATATTTTATTACTATTATTAGGGAATGTCCTTGAACAAACCATTTAAAAAAAATCTACCACCACTATAAAGTGGGTAGACTGTACTTAACAAGTGAACTCTATCCTATTATAACTACGTAAAAGTATGCTTGAACGAGAAAAAAATTTGAGGGAGACAAAAAGGCGTTTTTTACGATACATCAGCAACCTCTATACAATATTTTTATAGGACGTTGTAATTCGTTAATATTAAATTGATAAGAGGACAACAATACCTCTCGTCAGTCGTGTTTTCTTTTGCCTGATAAAATATGTATAACCGGAAATAAAACTAAAATTAATACAACCTAAATAACATCGTTAGGTCGTAACTAAAAAATAATAAATAAACTAATACAAAGGTTCTTCCGTCGTGACGAAACGAAAAGGTTCACTTTTTTTTTACTAAATTGGGAAGATTAGCGGGGTACACCGAAGACGAAAGAAATTTTTAGGATCTGAGCAATAGACGAAGGTGTGTCTTGTGAGAGTGTGCATTATTCGACAATTCCAAGTACTCCATTATCTTGTAGGACATCTGTTATTTTTTTACATGTACGAATTATACTGATTTTCTACAATGACCTATGATGGAAATCCGCTTGGAGGTTGCCCTGGGACTGAATACTGGGGCCTATAATTAGCGAAATTCGCTGCTGCTGCTTGGAAACCAACTAAGTTGCCCGCATTAAAACCAGGTGGAAATTGGCTCATTACTTGCGCTAAAAAAATAAACAATTTAGGTAAAAACTGTTATTTGTGTCTACTTGTGTAGTCTCTTATACTATAGTTACATTCTAAAATAACTCAATCTTGCTCACTTTATAGCAATAAAATGTATACTCGATTCCGCTTAATTGGGACACTGGTTAAGAGGATTAACCGCTTATTTGGGACAAATTTCTAAGAACGGAATACAAATTATCTAATTAATGATTGTCTCACGTCTCGTTCAGTCACCACCTCGAGCTTGCCACTTCCGATTAAATCAGTACTTGCGTAGTTAGTGGACGAGGTGTAAATATTACCAGTGCAGTATTAACCCTTGAGTAGTAATGCACGGTCTAGAAGACCGATGAAATTGGTCTTGCGTACCTTTCCACAAGTGTCTGAATGATCTTAGTACCAAAAAACAGTTTCTTCAGTGCAATGTACCTCTGACGTAATAAAATATAATTCACCAAAAGGGAAATACATTTCGCTCTTAGAGTAAGTTTTGTATTGAATTAATTCCATTTTATCACTTTATTCCATTCGTGGTTCAACAATTTGAATTTTATTTTGAGAAAAATTGGGAATGGATTATGAAAAAGAACAAGCAAGATTGCAAAAAGTTATGGATGAGATGTCAAAGATGAAACGGACGAAGTGAGATTTATGAAGGTGATGAAATTCATGATGGCCATGAGCATGAGTTTGCAAGTGATGATGACTTTGAGGAAAATTGTGTTCCAACATTCACAGGGAAAGGATAAGAAAACGATATGGAAAAGATATTTTTCGTTCAGAAATATACGAGCAAGGGCAAAAAACATTATCCGCTTGAAACTAATTGCCGTTTCTCCTGATTTAAGCGAAGTCAAGGAGCCCAAAGAAATTTGGATGCATTTTCTTTTGATGCAGAAATCCTAAATTTGATGGTATTGCATACAAATAAATATTTGGAATCGGTAGCAGATCAATATCGCCCTGCAACTAAGCTTACAGATATTGTAAAAATGGAAGCTCTTCTAAATACTCTACTTTTGACTGGTGTTAAAAACTGTAACCATTTCATCGCAGAAGATCTTTTCAAATTCAATGGTATAGCAACATCTTTGATTCGACGATATCGGGGAATTAGACAAACTAGCAACCAATTAGAGAGTTGTTTGATAAATTCGTAACGAATTGCAAAAGAAATTATAATTTGTCACAATACGTGACAGTTGATGAAAAACCAGAAGCATTTCTTGGTCGCTGCGACTTCCGTGAGTATATCACTAAAACCGAATAAGTATTAAAATTTTTAACTATAATTGTGCAATAGCCAGCAGAAGGTGACAAATCGCCGTATTCTATAGTTTACTCCACATATCTAAAATAAATTCCCAAGTGATATTCGGCGCCAATACAAATAAAAATTACCATCATTTCGTTGAAAAATTTAGCATTGAGCTTGATCAACTGAGTGTACGTGCTGACTGGATGTATTTAACGAAATCTTTGCGTCTAAGAATTTGTGAGATAGAACCACTGGAAGAACAACGTGAAGAATAGAAAAGTCGGTTGAGTGGAAAAACTAAACGAAACATTTTTTTTAAATTTATGCGTACTTCGTTTTATTGGTATAATCGCTAAATTAGGATAAAATGTCGCGGTCCCGATATGTCCTAATTAAGCGGAATCCACTGTAATAGATTTTTGCGGACATTATTAAAACTAGATTAATAATTGGACTGCGTTATGCCTCACTTGACTAACCGACAAATGAATAATGTTGAGAAAAACGGGATTTTCATTTTCATCTCTCTAAAAATATAAGACTTCTCAGAATAGACAGGTTCAAGCTATTGAAAATTGTTTGGTGCCTGTCCATTTTTATCACAGAACACTGATGACAGCTATCACAAGCACACAAACCGTTTGGTCATCGTTACGTTTTACGATTATACAGGTGTTTCTGTAAGTCATGGCATAAATTTAATCACTATAACTAGAGACAAAATGATGATGATTCGTGTAAAAATTTTTGATTTTCGGTTATAGAATTTAACTCTAAACAGTTTCGGCCCTTGGCCATCTTCAGACATTCTACAAATAGATTAACATCTCTCATCTTATCCATTTTACAAACAAGTTTCTTAATATTTCTTTTTGTTTTGTTAAAAAAGTTTACATATAAACGCCGAAATCAGATTATTAGTTACTAATTTACAAAATTACAGTTTAAAAGTTTTAAAATGAAATTAAGGACGAAGTGTTACAAATTTACAGGTTAAAATTTAAGCACACTCTTTTTTAACAAAAAATTCAATATTAAGAAACTTGGCAAAAATTCAAGAATCATGGCTCAGAATCAATGTGGCTTAAAAATTCGACGATTTTTTTTAATCAATGTGAAATGACCCAAAAAACACGTTAAAAATAAAAAGAAAGTGCGGAAAAGTGACTAACACTAGATTAACTTCAGTTTTGACCTCACTTTTGACATATTTGTAATCTTCATTAAAAATCCTTTAAAATGAGTACAAACACGACATATTTATCTTCAATATTAATGAAGTTATGGTCAGCTTCCGGTTAAGAGTGTCAACGTCAATTTTGACATATTTGTAATCGTCGTGAAAAATCCTTTAAAATGAGTCCGAACATGATACGTTTAATTCCAATACTACTCGAGATATAATCAACTTCCGGTTTGAAATGTCAATGTCATTTTGACATATCCTTAATTTTTATAAAATGTCTTAATAGTAGTCACAAAAAAATAATAAAAAACAAAAAAATAAGGTTGGTATTAATATTTAAAAATTAAATTAAATTTGTTACTAACGTAGGATTTAATGTTTTTTATTCTAACTTCTTTGTTTTTTGAGATAAATGGGTCATGTTTTTACTCATTTTAAAGGTTTTTTAATGAAGATGACAAATATGTCAAAATTGACGTTAACGTTTCAAACCGGAAGTGATTGTATTTATTAATATTAATGTTAAATATGTCGAGTTTGGACTCATTTTAAAGGATTTTTTATGAAGTTGACAAATATGTCAAAATTAAAAGTTGAATGTTCAAACTTTTTGGCTTTTTGAGATAAATGCGTCAAGTTTGGACTCGCTTTAAAGGTTATTTTATGAAGATTACGAATATAATAATAAAATTAGAGTAGTCATTGACACTGAAAGTTTTTTTCACGACTAAAAACTCTTAAACTCAAAACCAATTTTGTGATTGTCATAATCAAATTGGCATTAATCAATTATAAATTGTCACTGTTAACAAACTATCTACAAAATGCCTTATATTAAGAAAAAGGAAGCAGCAAACGTAAAACGCCAAATTTGTGCCATTTATAATACGAATTGCGTCTGGTGCAATTTAGCTGAAATTCTTGGCGTTGCAAAAAGAACAGTTGAGATGGGTAAAAAATCAAGAAGAAGAAAAACCAAGAGAAGGAAAACATAAAATAAAAATTACAGATGAACATCGCCGTTTCTTTGAATTTAAAGTTGAAGAAAATCCTAAAATCACACTTAAGCAGGTGCAAGAAACATTACGAAATGAGTATCGGCTTAATGTAAGCAAGGAGTATAGTCGACTACACCTTGATGGCCTCATGTTTACATTAAAACAAATACGTTTTGAACCGGAAAGAACCAACACAAGTCGAAGTGAATACAAAAACATCTGAATACATAAGAAATTTGCTTGAGCTTTAAAGTGAAAACATGCCCATAATCTATTTAGACGAAACAAACTTTCATTTCTTTATCTCGCGATGTCAAGGTCGTTCAAAAAAGGTAAGTCGTTGCACTTTCATTGCTGCCAGTAGCCGGGGAGCAAATGTTCATCTTATCAGATGTACCAGTAGCTTAGGATTGATTTATCATGAATTAAGAAGGGGTTATTTAAAAGAGAAGAGGCTAATGAATTTGTTAGCCAATGCTTAAGGAGAGCTCAAGATAGCTAATGTTCAGTGGCTTTTTTATTGATAATAAAAATATGCTCCTTATCATTGTGGTGTTGAAAAGGTGTTGAAGGACAAGAATTTTTTCATCAGAAACTTGTAAGGCTAAGTCCTTATAGTATTTTGGAGGGAAATGACCAAGGACTTGTCTCAAACAGAGTACAGAATTCGAAAATTAGAAAATATAATTAGGAACAATATTCCAAAAATTAATGTAACTAACTGTAACAGGTTTATAGGCAGAATTCGAAAGCACATCACCTCTATTTTAAACATGGAGGTTGTGATCTTTTGAGTTAACAATATTGTTTATTAATAAGTATAAAATTATGCGTTTAAAACGTTAATCAAGAATCAAAGATTATTTTATTAAATTATTGAATGCCAATTTGATGTTGATTAATGTCATTTCGATTTTGATTAATGCCAATTTGATTATGATAATTGTCAAATTGGTTTTGTTTAATGCCATTTTGAATTTAATTAATGCCAATTTGAACTTGAAAAGTATAGCTCTCGTTCTAGTTTTAGTTCAATAAAAATATACAACATATCTTATATACATAAGCTATACATATACATAAACCCGAATATTAGTTCTAGGTCTACTGTTAGTTCTAGTTTTAGTACAATGAAAATATGCAACATAGCGATATCTTATGCTAACTAGCGCTACCTACCGCTGTCGTTTGTAAAATGAATAAGATGAGAAATTAATCTATTTGTGGAGTCTCTGGAGATGGCCAAGGGCCGAATCGAGTTAGACTTAAATTATATATAAAATAAAAGACAAACATTTAATTTTATACTAACATCTAGAAAACGACACTGGTCCGAAATTATAGGTTCATCTATTTTTTCTATTGTAGAATTTCTTGGTGTGTCTAAGTGTCGGTTCTTAGACGTAGGTTTTTGAATTAGTTTACATATAATTTATAAATTTTGCCAATTTTCTTAAATTTTTTGTTATAACTTTAGTAAGCATTAAATTGAACCCTAGAGTCAATCATCGTTTCCGCATGGACATTCATAAATATCAAATTATTACTTATAGAAACGAATACCTAATTCTTATTTTATTAATGAAAAGTTAAAATATTAATAAAATGTCTTACTTGCACTTGGTGTGGTACTCGAAGAAGTAGCAGCCAATCGCGACAAAATACTCCTTTCAGACATTTGCAGTCGTTGAGCAACTGGTGGTATCCTAGCCAATGTGGCCGGTAACCTTGAAACATCCGATTTCATATCGGAAAGTAATTCCTCCAGTTGGTTCAACACTTTATGCAACACTGCATTGGCCGGTTTGTTACCAGCCAAAGATTCTTTGCTAAGATGTTGATGCGATTCCGCTAAACATTCGACCTCCGCGAATCGAGCGTTTAGTGACATCGCCGGATGGTTCGGATCTTGGGTAAGATTCAAGTAAGCAGCTCGGCGGAGTTGTTCCTCGATGACCAGAGCTTGTTCCAGAAGCTAAATGAGATTATTTTGTTTAAAAGTGTATAATGAGATTGTGTAAAAGCTACCTTAAATCTTCTTGCCAAAAACTTGTTCTTAATCTCGAGAAAATTTCCTTTGCCAACATCCATTTTAAACGGTTCATTTATGATTGCGAATCGTGAATCGCCTTGAATGTCTTGCCATCGGCCATAACCGTGGGTTACTATTCCCGCAAGTAACCAATAGTCATGTCTTCTGTGCCAAATTTCATATTCTCTTCCAGGAACGGCAGCTTTTTCTTCGTTCAACCACAAAGTATGTAATTCAGTGAAGCCCCCATCGGCGATATTAAACATGAATTTTCTTTTAGCAGCTGATGATTCCTCTCCGTCTTCACCTTTTTCCTTCTTTTTATCATCACCAACCACAACAACGTCATCTTCGTCTTCTTTCTTTTCAAGTTTGACTTTTCCATCATCTTTTTTCTCATCTTTACCATCGCCGTCTTTTTTCTCATCGTCTTTAGTAGCTTCTTTTTCTTGGTCTTCTTTTTTAATTTCTTCCTCCTTCTTTAATTCGCCATCTTCAGATTTGTTCTCTTCTTTATCTTTTTCGGATTTAACGTCGCTTCCTTGTTCGCTTTTAGCTTCACTGGTAGTCGATTCAGTTTCCGCTTTAACGCTATCTTTATCTTTGTTGTTGCTTTCTTCATCGGCTTTTTTGTCAGCTGTATTATTTCCTTCTTCTTGAGTTGTTGTAGTGGTCGATGATGTTGATGGTTTTTCTTCTGTTTTTTCACCTTCTTCTTTATCTTTTTCTGGTTCTGTTTGAGCAGAGGGAGCTGGACTCGCTGCTGCACTTGTAGCAGGAGTAGCACTAGTACTTGTTGTGGCACTTTTCGGGGTTTCGGTATCGTTAGTTTTCTCAACGGTTGGTTTTGTATCGGTGGTAGCTTTGCGAAGAGCTTCCGGCATACTATACTCACCGTTTATATGTTCGAATTCTTGTACTTTTTTCCTGATAAGTGACATAACACCGATTCTAGTTAAAACATGTTGACGACTAAGGCCTTCTCTTGGAACGCCGTCGGCAAAAGTTTCCGCATTATCTGCTCCAGGTTCGCAAAGATGGCGCATAAACAACGAAACGTACGCTTTGAAAATTTTCTCAGATTTTCCGCGTAAATCTCGGACAAGCCATTGCGAGTTGAAAGCGTCTTGAGGGGGCATTCCGTATCGCATAATAGCGTTTAAGAATGCTTTACGTTGTCTCGCATTGAAACCTAATACTTCAATGTTGCCTCCAACTCTAGCTAATAGTGGTGGAAGTGGTCTATCGCGCTCATCTTTTCGTTCCATTCTTCTTCTACTACGTCGACTGAGATCATTGTTTTCGTTCTTTTCATCGAAATCGTCGTCTTCTTTATCTTCATCAGAACCAGCAGAAAAATCTGAATTGTAATCAGATATGTTATCCTGCCAGTTGGTATCATCTCTTGTATCGGTCGTCATTCCTCCATCATTATAATTAACGACTTTGCGTACACGTTTCCCTTTACCCAAAGTTCTTGCTATATCTTCTTGTTGTTGTTCATAATGATGTCTTAATAATTTTATCCAATAAGCGGGGTCTGTATTCTCAGCTTCCAATTTAATAATTTCTGTATCATTTTCTTCCTCGTTATCACCTTCTTTAGTTACATAACTTGCCACTTTGAATGAACTTAAATATTCGTTCGCCCAATTTTCTTTTTGTTCAATACCTTCTTTTGATCTATCTAATAATTCGGTGATGGCTTTATCGTCGTAGTGGATGGCTTCGTCTTCTTTTCCCTCATCCTCTTTAAATAATTCTTCTGTACCAAAACGAAGAATGTCGTCTAATTCTTGTTTGGTGAAATTGGCACCTTTTCCGCCCATTCCAGGTCTTACAACTAAATGAGTTAACATCATTTTGCGTTTAGCGACTTGAGTAACACGTTCTTCTACACTATTACGTGTGACGAAACGATAAATCATAACTTTGTTCGCTTGACCAATACGATGAGCTCTTGAGAACGCTTGGATATCATTGTGAGGATTCCAATCCGAATCATAAATAATTACTGTGTCGGCTGTTGCTAAATTAATACCTAAACCACCCGCTCTGGTTGAAAGAAGGAACACAAATTGAGGAGCTCCAGGTGCGTTGAAGCGATCTATCGCTTCTTGCCTAGAAGACCCAGTAATCGCCCCATCAATACGTTCGTATTTATAACCTTCCCCTTCCAAATAATCTTCTAAAATATCTAACATTTTAGTCATTTGAGAGAAAATTAAGACTCTGTGTCCTTGTTCTTTAAGCTTTTTAAGCATTTTTGACAATAAAACTAACTTTCCTGCTGCTTTAATTAAACATTGCGTTTCGTAATTTCCATGTGGACCTAATGGGGCTTCTTCAGAAGCAGCGGGAAATAAGTACGGATGGTTACAACATTTTTTCAAATCCATCATAATGTTTAATAAAGAAACCGATTGACCTCCACCTTTAGGATTTAAAGCTTCAAAGTTTCTCGTTAAAATGTATTTGTAATACTTCTTTTGCATAGGCGATAACTCAACCCTCACAATAAATTCGGATTTCGATGGCATATTCTTTAACACGTCCGCTTTTAATCTACGCAACATGTGCGGCCCTAAAAGCTCGTGTAACTTCTTTACTTGATCCTCTTTCGAAATATCGGCAAATTCATTTTGGAACGAGGCCAAATCGTTAAATTTCGAACTGTTTAAGAAATTTAACAAGTGGAAAAGTTCTTCCAAATTATTTTGCAATGGCGTACCGGTCAATAACAGTTTATATGCGATGTTATAATTGGCTAATAAACGGAAAAATTTCGATTGATTGCTCTTTAAACGATGAGCTTCATCTACGACTAAAACCGCCCAATCTATCGAACCCAAACACGCAGAATCTATTGAAATTAACTCGTAACTTGTTAAAAGGACGTTAAATTTTATTGTACTTGAGCGGATTTTTGATGCACGACTTCCACGTACTGCACCTTCTTCAAAACTTAATTCATTTTCACGTATTACTGCTCTTGAATCTTTATCACCTATAAAAAATTTAAAAATTATCAATAATACAAAAAGTATTGTATTTACAAACGCCTGGATGTATGAGTTTATTTTACTAAACACATCTTATATACGGGGTTGTCATAAAAGTCTGGCATCCTAATTTTGTGATATTATAACTTTGTTTGTTAGACTCTTGCAAAAATCCAAAGGATTACTATGTGCGATTTCAGGTAGATTTCATCATAGACTGTGACACGATTTTGAGGCTGAGCCAGGCCGGGTGACTCGGAAGGAGATCGGAAAAATCACTGGAGTTTCTCGTAAACTGGTAACATTGAGGATCGTCCCAGAAGTGGAAGACCAAAGACAGCCCTGAACTTCACGGTCTGCCAAAGTTCCAAGAAGAGTCTCAGAAAAATGGCTAAGGAACTGAGTAGGGGCGTATTCAGGAGGGGCAATTGCATTAATCAGACGCCAGTACTAATCATCTATTTCAAACGCCAGTACTATACAGCCTATTATAAACCGTATGGGTATAATTGAAAATACGTACAATTTTTTTAATACACTAAAGCGCCAAACTGTCTTAACCGAAAAAACCAATGAGTTAAATTCCACATAAAGATGAGACAAATTGAAACATCTGTGTCCCACGCGATGGATTCAACGACAAGATTGCATTGTTGTAATGAAAGAACTGTTAAAGTCCGCAGTTTCTGCTCTAGAAGACATTCTTTAACTTCTTCCGAATTTATGTTGTCTCTTTTAGTTATGGAAGTCGTTTTTCCATACACACTACCCTTCTCAAAATTACTTCAAATGATAAATACCGACTTGTTTCAAGCAATTTCCCTTGCAAATTGTATAGAAGAACTAAAAAAACTGCTAAACAATGTTGAGACATCTTTTAACAATATATTTCTGGGAGGAAACCAGTTGATGTGGAATATATTTAGAGAAGAATTGAAAAGACCAAGACTTGTACTTAGACAAAGAAATAGAGCAAATTTTGAAACAGAAACTACAGAAAAATATTACAAAACATCAGTTTTCATTCCATTCTTAGACAACGTCATAATGCAATTAGATGAGAGATTTATTGCACACAAAGATATCTTAATAGCCTTTGGATGTTTAGTTCCATCATGAGAAAAAATTGAAAATTTAGAGGGCAACTATTAAAATTTGAACAGCTAATAGAATTTTATAAATATGATTTAGATGACGTCTCAAAACTTGTTGCAGCTGGTGAATTTACAGAAGATTTTACAATAGTTTACTAGAAGAATTTCCCAATTCTCCTTTAAATACATTATCAATTTGTGATTCGATTATCTTTACTCATATTTATTTGTTGAAAATTTTGTGCACCTTCCAGTAAGCACAACTACTCAGAACATTTTCGACTCTAAAACTGTTGAAAACATATTTGAGAAATATTATAAGTGAGAATAGGTTAAATGGAATAATGCTATTGTATATTATATTTATTCTTCAATAACAATTACCCCCGAAGAAGTGTTGGATGAACTTCAAAAGAAAAGAAGAAAACTAGGTTTTGTTTTGTTGATGTATCAGTAAAAATATACAGAGTGTCTCACGTACCTGGTTCGTTAGAACACTTTCAGGTTCCACTATTCGTAGAGATTTGAATACCATGGCTTGTTTGTTCAGAACTTTCGATCTAAAATATTTTCAAGAAGACCGCCACTTCTCGTCTAGCGGAAGTAGACCATAACTTCGTTATTTTTATGGAATGCTATGGTTTTTATTACACCTTTTAATTGTACGTAAAAAAATATGTTGATTTTCAAAAAAGTTATTCAGTTGTAATCTAAGTGGGTAACATCCATTATACGCAAGTTGAATACTATACTTTATCAACTATTTAATTTTGAAAAAAAAAATCAAAAAAAGAAAAAAAAAACTTGATAGACATTTCAGACATAACCTCAATATAAGAAAGCTGTCATTTCTGTAATATTTTATTTTTTGATTTGTAAGTCGTGTCAGAACTGTGGAATAATGGCTTCATTATTCAACACTTTGTCAGTCATGCAAGTAATGCGTGTCATTACCTGTCAAAAATCAAATGTATAACGAATAGATAATTCAATAGTTGTAGATAAATTTATTTTTTAAATAAATTTTTGCTTAAAGTTTTAACGTCAATGTGACACAAATTCAATGTTACTAACTGTAACCAACTTCACAACAATTTGTCAAAATTAAATGTCAATTTTATAAAACGTCGTTTTCTTTACGAAAATTAATTAATTTATGCTTAAATCATACGAAAAAAGGAATTTGTTTAGGTTTTTTTAATGTCAAACATTTAGAAACTGCTAAAAAATTGAATTAAATTGACGGTTTTTGAAATTTTAACGTTTCAAATAATTATTATTAGTCTGTCAAGTTGGTTACCCGTGAATAATGATTATTATTCACCGCTATTATTCACTCCGTGAAAAATGACTACCCTTTTGTTTTAGAAAACTCATTCATAAGGTATATATTATAAGGTAGTCGTGGACAAATATTGTTATACTATAAATATGAAACCGAAGACAGTAGAATCTAACAGGACCGTTACATCGATTGCTGTTTTATAGCCCACCACAGGTTGCCCGTACTTTACGTCATAGTAGTTGCCACGCCCAGTTAACTGTCATTGAGTTCTATGCGTTTGCTGTGTTTTTAGAAGTTATATGATTAAGACGTCTAAGAAAACAAACCTTCAATACATCTACAATATACGATGTAACCTCTAAAAATACACAGCAAACGCATAGAACACAATGGATACTGTTAGATTTTACTGTCCTTGTATGAAACAAATTTTATTCCAAATGTCATTTAAATGAAAAGTTACTACATTTCAGTCATGAATCGGTGTTTTGCCACCCCTCCAGTAGTCTTTCTGGATACGTCACTGGAACGGAGTATCAACCTTGAATCTGTGCACAAGATCGTCAAATATCGCGCAAGGAACGTTTGGAGTTTCATAGCATTAAGATGCTACACTCACACTTTGACGGAACAGATGAAGGCGACACAACGCTTCTCACTGGAATTCAAAGACTCTATTCAACCTTTGCCAAAACGGCAGGATTCTCTCGCGAACGGTTCAGGAAGAGATTGAGCTTCCAAAGGAATCATGGAAAGGATCATGCCACTCAGGTCATGGTTTGGGTCAGAGTAGATTTTTGTAGATCAGGGAGTCTAGATCAACTCTCAGAACTACCTTGATGAGATTCTGATGAAGGAAATGTTTCCTTGGAGGCAGTCCCATTTCAAAGGACGTCCCTGGACACTGGCTAAGGTGGTTCAGCAGTGGTGCCAGACCAATTTTCCAGCCAAGATCACCTCCATAGAGTACCCCCTCTCCCCATAAGAATTTCGACAGATTAAATCGCGTCCATCAGAAGGTTCCACAACATTCCACAGGCGTCTGTGGACCTGTATGAAGGCGATAAGTGGATACTTCAAACTTTGATTGTACATTATAGTTTTTTAATGTGTGAATTAAATGTATGTTGAATTTAGTATCTCTATGTGATTTCAGACTTTTGTGACACCCTATAGCTGCTGTCGTTTTATTCATAAAAATGTTGTAATATTTAGTTACAAAATTGTTTTAAGATTGACCAAAAATAAAATCATAATTCCCCAGAATTCTAATTTTAAACTATAACATACTTACCAACATAAGTGATACAATAAAAATCAGGTGCCCACAATTCAAATTCTCTTTCCCAATTAATAATGGTAGACAACGGTACGCTAACTAAAAATGGCCCTTTGCAATGTCCTTCTTTGTATAAAGAGTACAAAAACGTAATCGTCTGAATAGTTTTTCCTAAACCCATTTCGTCGGCTAAAATGGTATCGATACCTTGTCCCCAAGAATATCTTAACCAATTTAGACCTTCCAACTGATAATTATGCAATTGCATTCCGGATTCGCTTAAGTAGTCAGGTTGCCTGTCGTATTTTTTCTTTAAATCAGTCGTTGGTTTATCGGGTGGTGGAGTATATCTTCTTGGAGTAGTTCGATCATCTTCATCCAAGACTTTTTCCCTTTGACTTTTCTTTGGTTTACCTTTTTTACTTTTCTTTTCGTTGCAATAAGCGGCGCGTAAATCCATATAATATTCAATTGATTGTTTTAAACCGGGAATATCATCATTTTCTTCTTCCCATGTTGCTTGATCATAAGATAATTCCCTCCATTTCACCAAATACAAAATGCGATCTCGCATTGTTCTATGATTAATCACACGATGGACAACCAACCATTCTGGTTTAACGCCATATTTATAAAAACGTTCTTCTAAATCTTCGTCTTTTATACTTCCCATTGCCATAAGACGTTTATGGCGATTGTCGGCTTCATCTAAAGGTTCTTCAAGCTTCGGTGGATCTTCCATATCGAATTTGCGGATGTAATTACGGAACATAAGAGGATGGTGGACGTCCAATTGAAGTTCTGTTACCCAAGAATTATGCCAATGAGACATTTCCGCCCATTTTACAAAGAACTCTCTGTGTTTCTTTGGTTTTGATGGCTTTTTCGCTGACGTTGAAGCGCCTTCTTCTTCTTGAATTGGTTCTTCTACCCATTTCCAAGTAAGTATCTTTGAAACTTTACCAGGAAGCACAGGACAACTACATCTAAAGAAAGAAATAACAAATAAGGAATTAAATATAAAAAATTGTTAATTCATTACCTTGGACATTTCCAATCACCATCTGGAATATCTGATAATGGTGGATTTAAACAATGAGTATGATAAGCAGAAGGACAAGAATCACAGCAAAGTAATTCACCACCATCTTTACAAACTCTACAAAATTCTTGATGTTCATCATCGTCTTGTTCCGCTGGACCTTCATTTTCGCAATGTGGACAACTCCACTTGCCTTCAGGGGTCTCTTCAAGTTCGGGATCCAAACAAACTAAATGATACGCTCTTGGGCAAGTATCACAAAGGATAATTTCACCACCTTGTTGACAAACTTCACAATAATCTTGATGTTCATATTGTTCTTCACCGTCAGCTTTTCCAGGACCTTTAACTTTCCTTTTCTTTTTACTCTTATTGCCGATCTTCGTCTTAGCTTTACGTTTAGGAGGTGGATTTTCATCAACCGGTTCTGTAACTGTAACATTTGTTGTTTCTTCGTCTTTCTTTGCAACCGGAACTTCTTCCGCAGCTTGTAGCATTTGTTCAAACTCAGCATCTGAGTCTCTATCTGATCCATTAGGCGTCCCATCAGCTTCTTCTTCCGAACTTCCGCGTTTTCTTTTCCCAATTTTTATTTTCAAAGTAGGAACTTTACTTTGTTTTTTCGTCTTTTTCAATCTAGAACTTCTTTTCTTTTTACTTTTACTGTCATCATCATCGTCCTCTTCTTCTTCATCATCAAAAGTTTCATCAATTTTCGGGGCTTCTTTAGACGCCCTTGATCTACTAGGTTTTGAATATTCTTGTTCGGCAACTGCTGAAGTTTCTTGAATTTCTTGTTGAAGATGAGGATTCATTGTAGAAAATTCCCTCCATTTAGCGGCGACCAACATCATCAATTTCGACATGGGCACTTTTGGATTTTCTTTAGCCAATAAAGGACGAACGTGTTGTTGAAATAGTTTGTATGTAGTGAGATTCTGATAATCCGTTTCGGAATATTCAAGTTCAACGTCTGTCAATCCAAACGTTGAGCAAACTTCTTCAATTGTAGGCATTCCAGCTAATTATAAAAAAATTGTATTAAATATAAATGGTTGGTGAATTTTCTCTTTTTAATGTACCTCCTCCAGATGGAGCACCAGATTCTTGGATTGGCGTTGGTGGTGCTGAGTGTTTCGTCGAACCTCTTTTCCTACCTTTTTTGCTACTTGCTCCTGCATAATCTGAGTCGCCATTGTCTTCTTCTCCAAATTCACTCTCCTAGAAACAAAATAAGAAACACTAAGTAACAAAAAGCGGAGCAGTAAATTATGGATTTTAATTTTGGTTTTCATTCTTTTATTAAATGTACAATTCGTTCGAAGGTATCAAATAATTTCAAACAATTTCTTTGTTTATTTGGCCCATTATTTTTAAAACACCTGTAATTAAATAATGTAAATTTACTTTTTCTGATTAAATTTAAGCTTTAATTTTAAATTAACTTTTTTTCATTGTGTTTAGATTAGATTAAGTTAGATAAAAGTTGCTATTTACTGAAATTAACAATATCAGTGTACATTACATCATATTTGCATTGACATTTTATTTTATTTTTGATAATTTTTTTTTAATTAGAAGGATTATTTTCTTGAATTTAAATTTAATGCCTCTCAAATATTATCCCCTCATCATAAATCATTAATACCTCTTATTTATTCTAATGCATATTTCCTGAAGACATCCATGAAGCAATCTTATATATTAGTATATAGTACCAAAACTATCAAGTTTTAGCTTTAACAAAATGGTGCAAATATTGAATTGAAGTATTTTACAACATTTTTCTGTTGAACCTTATAATCCCATATTTATTTGTGAGTTGTGCAGGAGACATCTGATTACCTTTTCTATCAATTTTAGTTTCTTCTTCAAGCCACTATTATAAATTATCTTCTGCACCTTTATTAGTTAACCAAATCGATTTTCCTTCGGGCATTGTTTAAATAGGGTTTTAGTAAACTAGTAGTTTTTGAACTGAACATTAAACAGTTACAGTTACACTTTTATTTTGTGCATATGCAAGTGGAGAAAATACAAAACCAATGTTAATATATCGACGAGCTTTAAAGAACATGGACAATGAAGCACTTCCTGTTTTTTTTTCGCGAGCTAACTCAAAAGTTTGGATGACTTCTCAGGTATTTATTGAGGGGTATAAAGAATGTTGCGTTAAAGAAGTGGAGAGTTATCTAAAATCCAAAAATTTAACATTTCACGTTTATTGATATTGGATAACGCAACATCTCATCCAGTTGATGTTCTCAAGTTAGGTCATCCATGTGTGGAAGTAGTATTTCTTCCTCCAAATACAACATCCTTGTTACAACCTTTAGACTAAGGCGTTATAAAAGCTTTTCACACATTCAGTTTTGTACATGAGAACATACAAAATGACATTTTTCTCTGAATAAAAGATGTTTGCAGTTATACAATATTGACCATGCAGTTACATGTATAAAACTTGCTTTAAATGGCATTAAAGTATTAACCGTGAGTAATGCATGGAAAAAACTGTTAAAAAACACTGCACAAAGTGCAAGTGAAGTTGATGAGGCAATAGACAGAGCTGTCCTTTCTGCACGGTTGCTACTGGGAGATGATTTTCAAACCATTGTAGCAGCTGATATCGAATCTCTCGTCAATGATCAACAGGAAGAGTTGTCCAGTGCAGACTTAAAAGCGCTACTAATAGAAAATGAACCAGGAACGGATGAAGAAGATATTAATTCCCCATGTAACGAATTAACGTTGAAGGAACTTAATTTATTTATACAAGAAGCTAATAATGCTGCTGGAAAGATAAAAGAACATGCTAATGTTATATGTTTTTTTTATATTTTAAATAATTATAATTATTTTAGTGTATTAGATCTGAATACAAAAATTATTGCAAAAACTACAGTCGTTTTATTTTGATATTTTAAGATGTATAATTTAAGATGAATGCTATAGTTTTTATTACACCATTTAATTGTACGTAAAAAAATAGATTAACTTTGATGCGTTTTTAGTTTTCGAATTATTTTGGTTTTAACCTTTTTTTTGGTAAATTTCAACATGCTCTTTAAAATCCCATATCTCAGCCAACGTTCATTTAAAAAGATCTACATTGCCACGATTACTCTTCAGATGCTGTTAAATTGATTGTCATTTGTTGTATCGGAGTATCTTATACAGCAGGGTGGTCAAAAATTGAATTACTGTTTCGCTCTATTCAATGGCGAGAAAGTCGAAAATTTTAAATGGAACGCCTCATATTTTTTTAGCCTATCAGAAAGGGCATTTAATTCTCCACAAATTATCTATAAACATTCATATACCTATTTATTGTAGTTTGCCTCATATTTGAAAATTTATTAAAACATGCACGAAATGCAGGTTTCTTATTAGAAAGTTATGGAATTTTGACAGTTTTTGGTCCATGTTTGTATTATTGTTGTCATTAGTTACATTTGACGACTGGTGTAAGTCATTGAACATTATGGCAGATTATTCCAACGCCGATATTTGAAATTCATTTTGTATTGATGGCGAAAGTAATAAACTTTTGGACAGGACGCGTCGAACACTTAATGAGATGCCTAACAAACCTAACGCCCATCACAAGGAAAAGTTTCAAAAACTTGATAAAGATTTTCTTAGTTCTGGACATATCGAGACCAGTGTTGTTAAATACCCGGGTATTTATTTTCAAGGGTAAATTTCCTGGATATATACCCGGGGGTATTTACCAGAGATGGGTATTTAGAGATATTTATAAAATTTAATTTAAATTGAGTCGATGGCAGTCTTGCAAGCACTTCAAGAATGCAGAGTCGATTATCGATATACCAAACTTATTTATAACATCTACAAGAATGCTACAACGACGGTAAAATTGCATGAAAGTACTAAAGAGAGTAGAAGTAGTAAAGTACTGATCATAAGTAAAGCAAGACGATACAATGTTGAACCCAAATTGTTCATCACAGTCCTGGAGAGTACATTTAAACAACTGGATTTGAACAATTTGGATATGGCACACTAGACTAAATATCTATATATGTGTGCATTTTTCAAAAAAACATAATTATCTCCCAAACTATTAATGTTAGGTATGGGACGTATGGGATGGGATATAAAAGATGTAGACTGAGATACCGAAGACGACTAAGTAATAATATATGGGGTGTGCCATTTAAAAAGATGAAGTTATGGTACATCCAAATTTCGTAAAAGTTAACTTATCATAGTAAAGTGTCCAAACGTTCTAGACAGCCGTTCTCGGCACCAAAACATACTCCATCACGTTGCTTAAGCATGTTCTGAATCCTAAATTGATATGCCAAAAATCGAGTGTTCTGATTTTTTGAACAAATCTGCTGGAGCAGATTTTTCTAGAAATATTCGAATAACTCGAGAAGGGCCGAATCAAATTGCAAAAACTAAAGTTTTTTTATAAGCTTTATAAGCCTTGAAAACAGATAAATCCAAATATGTGAAAATATACAGGGTGTTCCATGAAAAAAAATAAAATAGGTGACGACTTCCAGTATAACCGGAAGTCCTGTATACAGATACACGGTAGTTCACTTTTTAATCGGGAAACTTTACTAAGACGTAGTACTTGTCAAAATAACACAAGTTTTTTATATAAACATAGGGTCGCAACTCTTTTGTTTTCGAGCTATGAGCTGTCAAAGTTGAGCCAAAAATTTACATTTTATCTTCTATTTCGGGTATGAGTAAACCATAGAATTTGAAATTTTGTATGTATGTACTACTAGTTAACATCTTATTTTCAACCATACCTTAAACTTCTCTAGCGCCCTCTAAGGGGATGAAATTCACAACCCCTTTGATTTTTTTTATAACAACTTTTTAACGCCATAGAATATTAACATAAAAAAATACGGGTTGTAAAGCTTATTCATTATTGGTACTTTTTTGTCTCTTTAGCTTTTTCCTTAAAGATAATAGTTTTAGAGTAAAAAAATAAAATATGCTACATTGTACTGTAAAGCGCTGCTTTTATTTAAAAAAAATGTTCTTTATAGCTGGCTATGGAAGTTGTGCACTTACTAGGATCTAGTACTAACTAAATAACACATATTAATTGTGATTTTCATAAGAAAAACCATAAATAAGATGAATATCTGTCTGAACAAATTACGTTGTCTTAAACAATATTAAGAATTGATATTCTTGCTTAATAACAGTCAAAAATTATTAATAATTATCAACAATTATGAGGATTCACTGTAAATAAAACTTACAAATTCTCAGAGCCAACTTTTAGAATAATATTAGCTAAACATGGCGGCACATAGCGGTACATGGCACGATATTTTATTTTTTTACACGGAAACTATTAACTTTAAGGAAAATACTAAAGAGACAAAAAAGTACTATTTTGGCAAGTACTATATTCCAGTAAAGTTTTCCGATTAAAAACTGAACCACCCTGTATATACATTTTCCCATTTATAGTAAATTGCCAAATGATATGTGAACTCTGAGCTTAGTTTAATAACATCTGATGCTAGAATATTTACAGTTTGTATGTTGGGTTTTGTGAAGGCAGTATAAATTTTTACTTTAGTTGATTAAGTACTTTATAATTCATTTTATATGCCTTCTTTTTTCTTTCTCTTGTTTTTTTTTTTGCTTAATTTTTATTTTTTTGCAACCAACTGGGTTGGTATGACCAGACATTGTCTGGAACCCGCCCATTGTGTTCCTTCTTTAATTTATATTATGAAACAAAATAGAGTGTTATATGTATTTGTGGAAAGCACTATAAAAATATATTATTATTATAAATATGAATTCAACCATGATCTAACACATTTTAATATATGTTGACCTGGTTTTAATAAATATCTCTATCAAAATATCATAATTGTGTCCCAAAATGGTATTACTTGTGATTTTATCACTACTTAAAAATATTATATGTTAATATTATTAACATACTTGGTGTCTTCAGTAACTGTATAATATGGCTTAAATAAATTATAAGTAATTAACTTTAAAATCTTGCATTATCCTAGTTGAGCCTAGAGGCCATAAGTTTAACTTTAAATCTGCAATCTAATTATGATTCATTGTATTACACTTTAATCAAGTTAAAATCAACATCCTGTTAGTACTAATAAAAATTTTAAAGACTTTACATTTTAATGTTGATACAGGCGAAAATGTGTGTTTTTTCATGTTTTTGTAATTTGGCGGGTTTGAAAAGTTTTGTCTGAATAAGTTGACATAACCTCCCAAGGTTTATGAATTTTTTAAATGATTAATCCTCACTTTTTGTTTTATTATTTTAACATCCTAAATTATTTCAGCTACGCAAAATGGCGAATTTTTTAATTAAAATATGCGTTTTAGAGGTGGTTATAAACTTATAAAACACCTAAAAAATAATTTGAGTTTAAAAATTAATTATGAATGTTAATAAGCACTTGACTTGTTACATAACTCAAAAAAAAAATTACTTACATCTCCCGAATCATTCTTCCTTTTTTTCTTTTTCTTTCTACCCCTTTTCTCTTCGCCCTTAGCTTTTCTTTTCTTTCCCTTCTTCTTTTTTCTGTTATCATCAGGGTCGTAATCATCATCTTCTTCCTTAATAAATGTAAGATTAATTAGAAAAAAACATTTTTTTTGAACTTTTTTTAATATTTTGATAATTTTAGTAATTAGAAAAACTTACTGCTTTGGCAGGCGCTTCATCGGATTCAGGCGAGTTCTCTAATTGTTCTGCGACACCCTCCTCGGCCGGCTCTTCCTCCCCTACAACGGACATGTCAATATCATGTGCTCAACATGTGGACAGTGGTCAACGACGAGACGAGGGAAAATTTAAAAACGCCACAAGTAGCGCCAAAAAAATTTTTGCCGGCACGCCGAAACAAGAATTCCTTAATTATTCGCGATCTGCCAATCTCTTTGTTTGATGGCCTCCATTTTGTTAAGGGTCAGGATATGCTCGCGCGCTGTCACAAAAATAATGAAAACCTCCCCCCACCTTCACCTCCTCTTGCCTAATATACGATTATCAGATAATAATTACTACCATTACTTTGGATTGTTACCTATTTTTTTTATAAAAAAAACCCACAAATCTAATCACTCGTTTTAATTAAAAACGAAATCTTTTGCGTAGTTATAGTTATTAGGGATTATTTCGAAAATATTGGAAACCACATGAGTTTTTGAAGTCGGCACACTACGCTGACTCCACACACACACACAACGTCTCGCTCTCTCGTCGACAACCTAAACAAAACAAACTTACCGGCGAAAGATTCCTCTACTTCCTCATCTGAAGCCATCGTTCGAGATCACAACCGTTGATTTAAGTCAACAAAATATGCAACAACGCGAATTTACACATAAAAAATCAACGCGAATCAATCGGAAAACCTCAAAAACGGTAGCGGTAGATTCTTTTCACCAGTCGTCTAGTTGTTCTTTACCCCCACTACGCTTTTTCCACTAGAAAACTAGGGACTTTTACGCTTGCGCAGATTAGAAAATGCTATCGTGTCCGTAACGTACTTCTTGTTCAATTCTTGCACTATCCTTTTCTTACACGTTATTTTATGAATCGCACACGATGTTCCATCTTTATCTTTCATGTACATTTAAAATGTGCATTACGAAATGCGCTTTTCGCATGCACAACCAAATTTATCGAACGAATTTTATAAAAAAAAAAAAGACTTAATTTTTTTCCAATTTGCTTTTTTATATCGTATTATTTATAAATAATTTTTTTTTGCAATTTGAAATTTAACTAAAACCAATTTATTTTATAACAATTTTTTTTAACTAAAGTAATTAAAGATCTTAGTGACTTTTTGATTTATTGACGTCATCCACCCAAATCATTTAGTCCAATAGTCATTCGATTGTACTAAATTATTAATGAACTAAAAAAAATTTATATAAATGAAAAATACAAAAACTTTATTAATTAAAAAATCAAATTTACAAGATTAACTTCTATTTTAAAGGAAAATAAGATTGTAAAACGCCTTGGTAAATAGTTACATCTTGATCAGCGAATAAACAAAAAATAATTCGATCAACCTTTGAGGAGTTTGATTCCAAAAATGAACGTACTTCGTTTACTGCTACATGAGCAGCCGGTTCTAATGGGTAACCATAAATTCCTGTTGATATACATGGAAAAGCTATTGTTCTTAAGTTTTGTTCGAAAAATAATTTTAAACTGTTCTTGTAACATTGGCTCAAAAGATCTGGCTTCTCTCCCTGAGGTCCAACCGTATGTATAACATCTAATAATAAAATTTTATATCAAAATATTGATTTAAAATTAATTTCATAAATACATTTAGCTGGTAATTCATATCCCCCAGTTATTTTAGCTTCGCCAACATTACAACCCATTAAAGTTTTACATTCTTGAAGTAAAAAATGTCCGGCAGTCCTATGGATAGCCCCATCAACACCTCCACCACCTAATAAAGATTTATTCGCTGCATTTACAATAGCATCAACCTAAAATTAAAAGAATTAATAATTCTTTCCCTTGTATTTGTTATGATTACAATATAACCTCTAAATGTGTTATGTCACCTTTATAGTAAGATATTTTATCCGCTAATTCTTTATTCATAGCGGGATTGATTGTATTTCTTGGTAATCGTGGTATTTCTTTGGCCAATTCTGATGTTTTGTTTTGAAAAATCGTTTTCCAAGTTGGAATTGTGGATACAGTTACTATTTTAAAACTGGGCCCCTTTTTTTGAGACGCGGTCATTTTTACAAACTTTTCTTTTTCTGTTTCCCAAGTCATTGTGGTTTCACCCGAATAATTTTTAATAAATTGCGAATATAAACAGGCGAGGTTAGGGGGTTTGAGAAAAATACGAACTGATAATTTCTTCAACATTGTTGCCACCACTTTCACAAAAAAAAATCTGAACGTTAAAAGTTACTAAAAATAACTATGGTATTTTTAATTTTAACTTTAATTATAAAAATATTATGAGATAGATGGCATTAATAAATTAAAATTCTTTTTTACAATTAATTAGTAAGTAATTAAACAAATTTAAAAACGAGAACTTTTATAATGAATTTCTTTAAGTGTCGTTAAACTTTCTTTTAAATTTCTTTAAATATTAGTTTTTTGTTGACTATGAGAACTTTAAAGGTTATAAGCAACTGGTGGTAACTCAATTTAAAGAAAGAAATAGTATTTTTTAACCTGCAGGCTAGAAAAACCAAACTTAGTATACAGGGTGATTCTCAACCTATACGCATAAACTTGGGGTCTAAACCAGAATGTTTGCGGGTCTCGGCAGCAGCATGTATACGATTCTGCAATATTTGCTCAATATTAACATCCGTGGTCTACACTACGCTTTTTAAGTAACTCCAAAAATAAAAATCAAGAAGATTGAGGTCGGGCAATCGTGCTGGTCAAGTCATTGGATCATCTTAATTTATCCATTTTCCGGAAAATACATTATCTAGACGTCGCCGCATATATCGTATATCTAGGAAACTAAAAAATTGTTACACTACAATTTTTTTCACCTATTAGGAGAAAATAAAAAAAAATCATCTTCATATAATCATAACAGAAAATATCATAGCATTGATTCATTAACAACTGTTGTATATTGTTGTTAATTACTCAATCATAGGCTTAGACATCTAAACGTACGTAGATTTAGGGAAGAGCTCAAGTCTTACGATTAGTTCTAAAATATTGCAAGCAGGTATTTGAATTTTTGGCTCTTGAGTTCTCACTGAGAGATCAATCTTCTATATCTTTTCTATCAGGCGTATGCTTAATTGATCAATAACTACTACTCCCAGTTCAACAAATTCTGCATTTCTTTTGCTTTTCTTCTTCTTAATCATGGAGTGACAAGGCCCTAGGATAGAGCGCAACTCCTTTTTATTTTCTGATTTTGAGGTATATTGTATATGTTGGTGATGACTTTCCTGAGGCACGCTGCTGTCAGGTGTTATCCGGTCCCGGTAATCGAGAAAATCATCTCCAAGGACTTAGTTTTCGATGGAGAAACGCAGTTTATGTTATACGAATGTGCAAGTGTGATGCAGATGATCCGAGCTTTGTTGGTAGCCATCATTGATGTTAATGTTGTTAAGACGAAGACGAATCAGTCCATGTAATCAACTTTGTGAATGCTTAAGAGACTTTGATTTTGACCAGAAAAGACTTTTACTTGACGCAAGTGTAGTAATTCTTAGATGATTGCAAAAGTTGAAGATTCATCTTCCGTTTGGGCGTTTAACCGCCCATAATCCTTACAGAACCTCTTCTTGTTAACGTTGATATTTATTCAAGATCTCATGGCAGCTTTAGAGCAACTTTATTGCTACTACAAGTTTGAATACCTGTTAAGATATTCCTCGATTGATGTGTCAAGTATTGCAAATCTATTCTTTTCAAATCTTTTACTATTCTTTTATTTTCAATTGTCAACGCAATTGTCTGTTAATGTATATTATCAAAATGTTAATGGTCTTTGTACAAAAACACTTATGTTAATTGTTCTGATTGTACCTATGATTTGATTGCTCTATCGGAAACTAATTTAAATTCGGATCTTGGATCTAATGAATTATTCGTGGATAAGTACAGAGTCGTATGAGCTGATCGTAAGTTTGATTTGGTTGGACATAACAGAGGTGGTGGAGTTCTGCTTGCTATAGCTAGTCATCATGATGTTGAACTGGTTGATTCTACAGACATTCAGTCTTTAGTACCACTCGTCGATATGTTGATTTGCAAGTGCTCTTTATGGTCAGTGACCTTATACAGGCTGTTCCGTATCTTCGGCATCAGAGCATTACACGGTTGTACGATACATTATTCTGAAGAATGCTCTGATGCAGAAGATACGGGACACTCTGTATATCGTGGTGGTGTACATACCTCCTGATAATCCGCAACCTGATTTACTATGTTTCTTAGACGCCCTAGAACATAGAGTTTTGAATTATCCTATCCTTATCCTTGGTGATTTTAATTTGCCTGAATATATTAAGGCACCTGGCATATCAACCAAATGTGGAAAAATGGAGTTATTTCGGAACTTTAGTGATTTTCTGGACCTTCGTCAGCTCGATCATGTATTAAACTGTGACAATTGTCTATTGGATTTGGTTCTGACAAATACTGACCATCAGTTTGATCTTGTTCATGATGATTGCCCCTTCGTCTACGAGGATCAGTACCATCCTTCCTTAAATATTATAATGAATGTACTGACAGCAAATGATGGTTTGCCAAACTTTTCGTCTTTGGGTGGTCGCTATAATTTTCGAAGAGCCAACTTTCCTAGCTTGTATGATGAACTACTTTACACGGAATGGTGAGATTTTGGATTTATTTGTTCCTAAGAGATTGTGTCATAGATCCTCATACCCTATTTGGTACACCCCAGAAATTAAGCGGCTATTAAAGTTGAAAGAGTATTATAGGAGGAAATGGAGGAGAATCAATAGTGCTTTCTATTCAACGGAATATAAAAGACTGAGATTTTTGACTAAACAGAAAATTTCTGATGCGTATACTTCCTTTACTACTTCCTATTAGTGCTGAACAATCGCTTAGTTCTGATCCCCGTAACTTTTAGAGTTATATAAGATAGAAAACAACGACCTCTCGACTTCCTGGGAAAATGATGTGTGATAAGTCCACCTACACTGATCCTGAAAAAATACTTAACGCTTTTGTAGTTCAATTCTCGAGAGTATATTCTGGTGTCTCTGCTTATAACATGGTTGATGTACACTCTACGTATCCTCCAGTATTTGTTACCGACGTCACTGACGAACAGGTTCTTCATTTCCTAAAAACGTTATCTAATAAATTTACTGCTCGTGATGATGATCTTCCTGCATTTTTCATTCGTGATTGCTGTGCAGTTTTTGCAGTTCTGCTTCATTTAATAATTAACCTCTCCTTAAGCACTTGCTCGTTTCCTAAACTTTGGAAGCGCTCACGCATTGTTCCTGTATTCAAACATGGCGAACGTACCAACATTACTGATTATCGACCAATATCGTTATTGTCCAATTTCGCTAAAGTATATGAACGGATTATTTACAAGATGATTTATCCGCAGGTTCAGTCATTTGTGTCACCATATCATTACCAATCTCGCAGTGGTTCAATCACTGAGGTGATTTGTGAATCTTTGGATGGGGGCGGTCAGGTAGACATGATTCATCATGACGTCCTCTTGTATAAACTTAGTGCTTTTGGCTTATCTCCTAAGTTTATGAAACTATTTACGGTTATTGCGAAGTTTATTTACGATTATTGCGGTTAGTTTTACACGCAAGCTGTCTCCTCTTCCATCTTCTTATTACATAGAAGGTGTTCTTCTTGAGAAACTATCTACAATCAAGGATCTGGGAGTAACTTTTGACCACAAATTGTCTTTTGTACCGCACATTGAAAATATTGCATCTACTGCAGCGAGGATCCGTGGTTTCGTTTTGCGCACCTCGCGTACTTTTTCTGACATAGTTGTGTACAAGTCTCTGTTTTCGACCTTGTATTGTCCAAATTGGAATATGGCTCCGTAATTTCGTCGCCACATTATGTGTGTCATAGTCTTATATTGGAGAGAATTCAGAAGAGATTTCTCAAATATTTATCTCTACGCCTGTACGGATCATATCCGGATCGTGGAACGGATGACACATCCCTGCTGCGGCGTCACAACTTTTCTGCACTAGACGTAAGAAAAGATGACCAGTGTATCAAGTTTTTACAGAAGTTACTGCAAGGTGGCCAAGGCACAATGATTAAGATTACATTACCCTGAAACTGCTCATTATGTTGTGGTGCCTCGGCTTTATCAGATAAAATTGTAGATCTTAAGCCGAGGTCACTTGGGGCCGAGGCTCAATAATTAATATCATATCTATCTAAAACTGGTTATCAAAAGATTCCCAACATGATTTAACACTCTCGTTAAAATAAAAAAATATCTCTGTATATTTTTATTTTTTATACCGGATGTAGATCGTTACATAAATAGCATTTAACAGCAAGCCGCAAATGTTCTGCACCTAAAAAGGAACTTTAAAAAGAAAAACTTTTCAAGTTCATTATCTACCAGCAACTTACCAACATCGTGGGATTATTTGCTGCCAGTGCTACCAAGACCCAAAGAAAAGAGGCAGTCATCGATAAAGTTGTTATTATTACATTTATTGCACCACATTCGTTGTCTCTAATCATTTGTCTCTAAATATATTCGTAATGCAAATTGATCATTCGTTGATTCAATAAAAATCGACTTACCAATTTAGTGAATGGCGAAGCTAAAGTTACTATAGATAATGCACCTAAGCAAGTACCAAATCTGTTACAAACCGTATCTGGATCTTCAAATTGTGCGTAACCAAGTCCGGCTAAAACCATGAAAAATCCTTTAATTAATGGTCCTAATACATCTCTCCATTTATTGTTAGTGTAAACGAAGTGCACGCTTAAATTTATTCCATCTACGATTATTTGGAGGATATGTGTGCATACTAAAGTTTGGTCGCATGCTAAACATGCATGCCTAACACCTAAAATAGCCCTAAAAAAATATGTTTCCTCACAATATTGTTAAAATATTATTTTGGTGTTCTTACAAAGATAAACTGCTTACTGTTCCTACTGCTGACTGTTTTGTGGCATCCTTTTTAGTTATAATCTGATAACTAATTGTTAAATTTGTTAAAGATTTTACTATTCCAACGATCACCGCCAAATTTGCCATCTCCCTTCGGTAAATGTGCAACATCAAACCTACAGAATCCATTTTTTATTGATTTTTTTAAATAATTTCTACCGAAATTTTATAGATTTTTTAAAATTTCTCTTAATTTTTTCCATTTTATAGATCTCGAAACGAGACAATTTTGATTAATTTTGACAGTAATTTGAAATATTTAAAAACAACCACACCTTCGCCATCTATGAACTCACCATAGAAATCTGCAATACCGACTTCATTAACCGTTAACGTCAAAGCAACTGTCAGTTTTTGTTATTGTTATTAAATCCGGTTAGAAAACACTTGTAAAAACAAAAACGTTAAAAATGAATCAAATCTCATTCTTACGAACGTTTTACAAAACCAATTCTTATAAGTGATTAAAAATTAGTGTCGTAACGATGTTTCATAGAGCAGAAAATACCAAGGGTACCTTCCTGGAGCAAACTAAAGCAGCCAGGGAGGAAAGAGCCTTTGAAAAACGCAAGGAAACAGCCGCTATTGTGCTACAAAAAAATATAAGAGGATGGTTACAAAGGGTGAGATTTACAAAAGATATACTGTAAGTAAAATGAACGAATTCATCGAATATTACTTTACAATATTTTTTTCGCAATTAGAGATGAATTTGATGAATACATTCCCGATATTCCTGAATCAGAAAAACCCGTTTTAAAACCTTCTGTACAAGTTTTCCATCAAGTGAGTCGTTTCATGATTGTATGGCAAAAACAAAGGGATAAAGACAGGTTTGCGAGGTTATGTCGTTATTTAATCGCCAGTTTGGACTCGGATTCACCCAAATTAAGTTATGTTGGAATGGCTTTGAATAAAGATTATGTTATTAGATGGATATCACACATAAATGATATACTTTGGAAGTGTTGTGGTTATTTAGAAGATTTAAAACCTGAATTGGCATCTGAAATGATATTAATTTTATTATTTTTACATATGCTAGTTTCTTTTACCACCACAAATACTTGGGTTATTTTAAAAAATAAAAATACTGAGGTATTAAAAATTGGTATGAATCAATTGTGTGCTAATATTATGGGGCAACTATTTCATAAAGGTTTTTATTTAACTTTAAAGGTAAATAATATAATTATTACAATATAACCTCGATATAATGGAATTCCTTAGAACAGACCTTGCATATAATGGACAAATTATTTTGAAATCATATTATTAATATTATCTACTTAATACAGTACCACTCAAAAGTGTATAAATTTTTTCCTACTTAACATTCTTATCTAAAATTTTAATACAGTAAAACACACACCAGTTTTTATAAACAAAACAATTTATTAAAATAACGCAAAATGACAAGTCCAACAATTGTAAAAATCCAAGATATTTCTAAAATCTCTGAACTCTGGAGTACTCACTAGACTGAGATATCCATTGCTGGCAATGACAGCCTTGCATCTATGGAGCATGGAATCAATCAAAGAGTCTATGATTTGGTCGATCTTTGCCCACTCCGCCTGCAGCTGCCAGAACTTTTTATTGCATGTGGCCCAAACGCCTTTCAGCTTGCGTCCCAGAATGTCCCAGAGTGGTTCAATGATGTTGAGGTCTAGGGATTGGCTGGGCCAGTCCATTACAGTCACTCATCGTTGCGCGAATCAATTGGCAACGTCCCTGGAACGATATTGCGGGTCACTATCTTGTTGGAATATCCAAAATCCATGTTTTTGTATGACATGTGGCGGTCAATTATGCCCAGAATGTGGATGAGGGGAACCGTTCCAATGGCGCTGAAACATCCCCACACCATGACGCTACCACCGCGGTGCTTCATGATGGGCAATTGGTATTTGGGATCGAAGCGGGTGTCAGACAGACGGCGTATCCACGATATGTCATCAGTTCCAAAGATCAGGAACTTGCTCTCGTCGCTCCAGATTCTTGGCCGACACGAACGGTTTCTTCACTCCTCGTCGCCCAATGAGTCCAGCAGCATTTAGCCTTCTCTTGATCGACGCCACAGATAACTGGCGCTGCCACAATTCACGTCCAATGTCCACACGCTAAGCCTGGCTAAGTCCGTACGGCGTTCCTGTCCTCGAGGCAAGCGGTAATTCTTAGTCTTCCTGGACGTTTTTTTGTCACAGAGCCTCTCTGAGTTCGCCAGTTCTTAAGAACTCTGGATACAGCAGACTGGGTGATCGTTAACTGCGCTACTAGTTGCGTCATCTTCTGACGATGGCTTTCCACGATTCCTTTCTGCATCGCTTCAGAAAATTCACGAGTGTTCTTTCTCATTTCCATGTGTGTAAATACATAATACATAATTCTTGCGACCATAAAACAGCTTTAAGCTGAGAAATATTGTGTGAAAAAAGAGTGATTGGTGTAACCACAAAAAAATTATGCCAAATTTTTCAAAATATAATACACTTTTGAGCGGTTGAGTACCGCTCAAAAGTATATTTAAATATAAATGTAATATCAGTATATTTAAATATAAATGTTAACGCTCATAGAAAAAATCCAACTTGGATTATTCCCTAAGTTGCTCTATCCCATATTCATACAGTGCTGTGCAAAACAATAAGTGTGACTTGAAAATAGTTTTTAAATGTATTTTGGTTGTAAAATATATAAGAGTAAAAGGTTAATACGTAAAATCGGAACTAGTAAACGATTATTTCAAACGAAGCCTTTGCTGCCCTGGAAGTGTATTTAGGGTCGTTGTCTTGCTGAAACTTTCACCGCAGAGGCATATTGTCATTAGCGTAGGGCAACATGGTATTTTCATGGTATTGTTATTATTATTGCTGCCGGACTGAGGGGAGCGGCCCCTCTTGTTACCGCGACCTATAAGATCTATTGTAACTTTAGCCCTCCAAAAGTTTAGGGCAAATGTAGGTCCTTGGTGAACCTTAGTATTGCGCTGAGGTCTTGAGCTTTTATTACCTTTTGTACACCTACCGACAAGGTGTCAAGAGAGTTTTGCCGAAAATATTGTGTTTTAGACGGCCTCTGGCGACGCAATTGCACAGTATATGTTCAGCTGTTTCTGACTCGTCGTTGCAAAGTCGACAAGTTTAATGCTCAGCTTGTCCAATGTAGAAGAGGTGGTATTTTAGGGGCGCATGGTCGGTCAGGTAACCTGAGAGAGTCCTTAGATCCCTTTTGCTGAGGCATAAAACCTCTTTGATTTTGTTTTGCGACGGAGTTATCATACTCTTCGTTTGCCTGTGACCTGGAAGTTCTTTCCAGCGTAAGGCTACTTTTGAGACCTCCCTAGACTTCTCTCAGGTTGCTGGTACACTCTTTAATCAGTGCAGAGTCACACGTGTAGGCCTGAATTGCCTTTAAGGCGGCCCGACTGTCTGTGAAAATGTTTATCAATGCACCTTTCTGTCCCTTCTGTAGGTTCAAAGCGGTGCAGAAGTTTATAGCAAGAACTTCTGCTTGGAAAATGTTATGTCCGAGCTGAGGGGCAGTTTAATGCGGCTATTTGGTCCACTAATGCCAATACCTACTCCGAATCGGTCCACTAATATGTTATAGATTTGTTCATTGTAAGCAGAAAAATTAAACACAAGTTAACACATGTGCTCAATTCTCAAAGGTAACTGAGGTATAGCCAATTAATGAATAAACCGATTTAAGGGAATATCTTCTAACAGTATTGGAAGCTCATTGCGCAAGAAGTCTAAATATCTGTCCGCTGTTAGACGCTCGGGTAGTACGAAAGGCCCAATTAAGTTATTGTCAATCATTCCACACCATATATTTACAGAGAATTTTACCTGAAAATTTGTTTCAACACTGGTATGTGAATTATCCTCAGACCAGCAGTGATCACTTGGACTGTTATTGATTCCATTACGAGTGAAAGTGGCTTCATCAGTAAAAAGTATTACAAAATTCACAAAATTCCAATCTCCTGGAAAAGTCTGTTGGTTCAAGGTGTTGTACTGGTTGAACATGGAATGGATACAAGGTATGAGTACGCAATGTTTTCATACTTTTACATGAGGAACACCAAGACGAGCAAAAAGTCTTCTTGTACTGGTTCAGAGTTCAGAGTTTGCACACCTGCACGTTGAGAATGAATACTTGTACTTGGAACAGAACCGGTTTCATGCAATCTGTTGAATGTTCGAGTAAATGCTTTTGAATCTGCTAACACTTGGTTAGGAAACCATCTCCTATAGTCACGACGAGCAATACGTACATTTCCATTGCAGAATATTCTGCATGAGTCAATATGTGTGGCATTATCAACAACTTAGTCGACACGTCAACCAAATAATGTTAAATGTCATACATTGACAACAGTTTCACAACAGCCGTGCGTTATATCAATTTATGCATTAACTGACTGTATCTCAATTACCTTTGAGAATTGAGCACATGTTTTTAGGAACTATTCTGCTTAAAATGAACAAATCTATAACATATTAACGTATGTACTATTCCTCATGAATCACCCTGTATTATGAACCATAAATCTTAAAGTAACAACATTGCAACACACGAATAGAAAAAATTAATTTGCTAATTCAAACCCAACCCATCCCATGCGTGACGTCACAAACGGACCTTCGAGCTGTCCATCTGTTACTGTTATGGCACTTATGTAACACTTATATTCTACCGTCCATGGTATAAATCCGAATTTGTGTACATTAAAATTATTCATTCAAATTTTATCATGTAACTGACTTTTAGCTACAACAGACACTTCCTTCCCCGTATTATTCCGTTATATCGAGGTCTCACTGTATTTCATCATTAAATTGTTTACGTATTTTTTTAGAGTTTACTTTTACGAGGTTTGGGAAGGTCAAAAATTTTATTTAAAAATGTTTCTTTATCAGCTATTGTTACATTGGCATTAAGACCTTTGATTTCTGCAAATTTTTCCGATAAGTTAATGACTATGTTTTTGATTCATATTTTATCAGTTCCTGGACTTATTCAACACTTAGAAACATTAACACCTGAGGTAAAAAAAAATGGATAATTTAGAAATAATTTTGTTTAAAAGTCATCATTTTAGTGCATATCCAAATTAGTTTCGCATAAAATATTTCCGAAGAGTTTGGAGTTGTTGGCAAGCCAACAATCAATGAGAATTGTGTTTAATACGTTAGAAGGAAATTATGCTTTATGTTTATTAGCAAATTTACTTCAATTGGCCCAAGTCGAAAAAGACACAACTTTACCTGAATTATGTTTTCCTACTTTCACTGTAAGAATAATTTTTTTTTTAATTTAATTTAATACATTTTAATTCTTTTAAATGAAAAGGTTGTTATAACTGGATTATTAGAAAGTTGCCAAAACTATGTAGTTAGTAAACAATCAAACTTAACACATTGGCATCCAGTTTTGGGTTGGTTTGCTCAACCAATGGATCCATCTTTACATGCTGCAATGCCCCATGTTAAGACTCAATTACATATTTTATGGAATTCACAAATGATATCAATTTTATTAGGTTTGAATTATTTAAAATTTTTACTAAACGTTTTTGTTAAATTTTTTCTAATTTTATAGGTAATTATTTATCAGAAATGGTTAAAGATGTTTCATTACCTCAAGTAGCAGCAAGTCCAACTACGTCTCATTTTAGTGGTGCTAATTTTATAAAAAGAGCTTTAGAATCTCGCGGAAATCGAGCCAATACCCAACGAGTTTATCGATCGTTGGGGAGTCCAGAGGTTTATCGTATCGTTCTTTTATGTTCCATGTATCATACAGCATTGAATACATTAACTCAATTAAGACTTGATATTTTAACCGGTAAATTTATTTATAACGAAAATTATTTTAAAAAATTGTTACTTTTTTTTGTTATTTAGGTTTGTGTTATCAAGGAGAAATTTTATATAATTTATGGTTATTTCTTTGTTCGCTTGGACCAAATTGTGGAATAAAAACTTTTCTGGATCATTTAGCTTTTCATACTAAAAGTAGCACACCTGAATTTCAACTTTTACAATTATTTGCGGATTGTATGACACATTACATAACGTAAGAAATATATGAGTACAGTGGAGTCTTGATAATCTGAGTTTAACTAAAACGGTTGTAACTTGAGAACAAAATTTGAATCTGATTTTTTTGAACTATGTAAAACTTACGTATATACTTATACGTAAATAAGTATATACTTAAATTATTTATTAAAAAAGATAGTGATTATTTTTCTTTTGCAAACATCATCTTTTGCATTAATTTGTACAAAACGTGTTTCTGTCATTTTCTTGTCATTACACTTCTTCATCACATAGTCATCGCCGTAATTGGGGGCTTGCAATAATGATGAAAATTTAGAATGTACTTGTTATTTTGAAATTTCATCATCGTTAAAATATTTTCCACGTTTCGCTGTCTCAGAAAACTAAGCACATAAAAACCAAAAAATTCCCCCTATTTTTATCCATAGTGCCCTAAAACACCAGCAACTAATTACTGACTTAAAAGCGAACACAAAACACAGTTTCACTACTACGTACAAAAAATCAAATACCAAAGTAAACCTAACCCATGCTGATGATTACAGAGCGGTCACCAAATTCTACAAAGAAAACAAAATTCCGTTCCATACCTATCAAGATCCCTCCAGTAAACCTCTTTCTGTGATCTTACGCAATGTCCCGATATCAATATCCAATCAAGAAATCAAATCCGAATTGAATCAACTAAACCTACCAGTCATAAGAGGCACGAGATTGCTCAATAAGTCAAAATACCCCATAGCTTTATGCGCAGCAGACCTAGAAACCATAGAGAACGCCAAAGAAATCTATCAAGTCATCTTTATGCATGATATCCCGACTGACGTAAACTTCGAAATAGCCATGTTTGCGGATGACATGTTAATAATGAGAGAAAACGACATCCTTATTGATGCTATTGAGACACTTCAAAGGTCAGTGGACAAAATCCAGAAATGGTTATCAAAATGGGTCATTCTGCTCAATGCCAGACCAAGATTTTTTCGCTAAGACCTTATCGAAATGCTCCTTACATTATTATAAACGATCAAGAAATGCAGTGGAAAGCAAAAGATGAAGCCATTAAATACCTCGGAGTCCTCCTTGATCACCGCATCACTTGAAAACTCCACATAAACTGAAAGGTCAACCAAGGATATACCAGGCTTCGCCAATTGTATCCTCTGATCAGCAAAAAAATCACCAGGAGCTCCATGAAGACTTAAATGTCCCAACTATCAGCGAATTTATTAAAAAACTAACTAAAAAGTTTAGGTAGCGACAAATTTCTTGTTCTTAAAGGTAAATTTTTTGAGAACCCATCTTTAGCACAATTTCATTGCAAATTCTTATAAATTTGTGGATATTTTCAAAACTAAGTTTGTACAGAACTAAAAGAAAGTTAGGAGTAGTTGAATTCGGGTTACTTAGACTCTGCTGTATTCAAATTAAGTATATCACGATTAAAAACATCACTTTTAATTAATAAAAAAGATTCGTAATTACTTTGATGTTAAATTTTAGTGTAGAAATACTTTCTTATCATCAAAAATTTGTATATGTATTTCATTCATTTTCACATATGTTTTGGTTAATGTGCAAATTTCCAAATGTTGGTGGGTATCCATTTCAAGTGATACAAGACAGGTTGGGTAACTGTTCCACTAAATGTACTGATTATTGCATTTGTAGAGGTTTACATTGACTTATGTTATACGGAACTGACGAATCCTAGGTTTATAAATTAAGAAACATTTTATTCGTCAGACTATCTATTACATATACTATATTTGCTAGCTTTACAGCGATTGTTTCGAATATCGGCCGGAACATACCAATATAGGGTTCGATATTATCATCAAATATCCTGCATACAACTTTATCAAGATCAAATTTCTGTCACCTAACACCACACCCTTCTTACAGTCAATGAATGAGCAGGTAATTTCAAACTTTAAGTAGCTATACATATACGAAAGCTTTTTTTCACGGTGTATCCTGGTGACTAATGATACAGATTTGACCCAGCAAGATTTCTGGAAAAATCATTTCAATATTATACACTGCATAAATTTCATTGATATAGCCTGGAACAATGTCTTTTGCCGTACATTGCAGTTAACATGAAGAATACTTTGGTCAACTTTTGTGCCTGACAGACATTTTAAAGACTTTGTGGAGGAGGCAGATATGGTACAAGACATTGTCAAAAGTTTGGAGTTCGAAATCATCGAGGATGATGTGGTAGAGTTACTGCAGAATGATAGTCAAGAGCGCACTCCAGAAAAACTTGAGAAGGAATTGCAACTTGAGCATGTGAAAGCTATGGAGAAGGAACATTCAGCAAAAGAACATGTGGTGCCAGATGCTTCAACTGCTGAAATAAAAGATATTTGCAATAAGTGGAATGATGTGCAGACTTTTATTGAAAAATATCACCCTGACAAAGCTGTTACCAGTAGGGCAGTGGAAATTTTAAATGATATTGTAATGGCACATTTTCGTAAAATTCATGTTTCTTGTAAACAATTTTTTGATTTTGTATTTCAAATTCTATTCATGTTTCAAATAGGAAGTATTTTCCATTTTATATATCAACACTGTAGAAGTATTTTCTTCACATCTTCATGCATAAAATGAGTTTTACAACAAAATTCTTAAATATTTTACACATTACATTATTTCTACACTAAAATTTAAGTAAATTTAACAATTCTAATGTATATTGATTATGTTTGATTAGCTTGATACAAAACTTATGAATTACTAATCTTAATATAAAAGGAATAACTCATATGATTAATGAAAAAAAATATTTTATTAGAATTTTAGATGATATGGAAATGTACGAACAACAATATCCCTTTAGATTAACAGATTTAATCTTAATGTCAAGTTTTGTTAATGTATTTTTATACAAAGCGGTTTTGGGGAATTTATTTGATTTAAAAACGATACAAAGCAACATTCTATTCCAATCATTACACACGTTATTAATGGTGCTATATAAAAGAGATTGCAGAAGAAATTATTCGCCGCAAGGACATTGGTTGATTAAAGAGATTAAAATCTCAACGTTTATGACGGATTTAGATAAAGGGAGAAGAGCCCCGCAACTTTTATTGCAAAGTATGCCTCATATCATTCCTCACGAGGAACGAGTCCGTCTATTTCGGAAATATATCACTAACGAAAAAACCGTTTTGGGTTTAACAGAATCTGCTTGTGCTTCACCACAATCTACACTAATTACAATTCATCGGTAAGTAAAATAAAAAAGTCCTACAAATGATCTCTTAATTGTCTCAATTTAATATTATTATAGAGCAAGAATTGTTGAAGATGGTTATAGACAATTAGCTTTATTACCAGCTCAAGCTCTAAAAGGTGTAATTCGTGTACGTTTTATAAACGAGCAAGGTTTAGATGAAGCGGGAATTGATCAAGACGGTGTTTTTAAAGAATTTCTTGAAGAAAGTATAAAAAAAATTTTCGATCCAGCATTAAATTTTTTTAAAGGAACTAGTGAAGGACGTTTATATCCATCTCCGACGTCTTGTATGCAAGAAAACCATCTCCAATTATTCGAATTTGTCGGGCGAATGTTGGGAAAAGCCGTTTACGAAGGAATCGTCGTCGACGTTCCTTTCGCCCTTTTCTTTTTAAGTCAAGTGCTGGGACAAACCGCCCAAGCGCTTTATAGTTGCGTCGATGAATTGCCCTCTTTGGACGATGAATTGTATAGAAGTTTGAGTTATATTAAACATTTTAAGGGGGACGTTGCCGACTTGGATTTGACTTTTAGCGTTGATGAGGATAGTTTGGGGCAATTGGTTACGCATGAATTGATTCCCGGTGGAAAAGCTGTGCCTGTTACAAATGAAAATAAGTATGAAATTAAAATACGAAATTAATTAAAAATAAATTATTAAAAATTAATTTTTTAAGGATTAATTATATACATTTAATGGCACATTTTCGGATGCACGTACAAATTAAGGATCAAACAAGTGCATTTATTAGAGGTTTTAGGTCAATTATTAATCAGGAGTGGTTATCACTTTTTTCAACACCAGAAGTAAGTTGATAAAATCATAAATTATTTGAGTTAGATTATTTGTTTTTAGTTACAAAGATTAATTTCCGGTGATAACGTTCCGCTTGATTTGAGAGATTTGCGGAAACACACTCAATATTATGGAGGTTTTCATGATTCACATCGAGTTGTGTGTTGGTTGTGGGATATTTTAGAAAAAGATTTTACTGAAGACGAAAAAGGAATGTTCTTAAAAGTAGGGTGTATTCCATAAAGTTATTTTTTTTATAATTTTTTTAAAAATATCTTCAGTTTGTAACCAGCTGTTCAAAACCACCACTTCTTGGTTTCGCACATTTAGAGCCCCCTTTTTCAATAAGATGCGTTGAAGTGGGTGATGATGAAGACACAGGAGACACAATCGGCAGTGTAATTCGAGGATTTTTTACGATAAGAAAAAAAGATCCTTTGAATCGTTTACCGACGTCTTCGACCTGTTTCAATCTTCTAAAACTTCCAAACTATCAAAAAAAGAGTACTTTAAGAGAAAAACTTCGTTATGCTGTTACTTGTAACACTGGTTTCGAATTGTCGTAATGATTTTGATTGGGAAAAGAAAATGTATTTAAAATAATGAGAAAAAAAGTATTGTGATATCTGTTTCTATAATTAATTTAAATGTAAGTGTAAATAAATGTATATTTTTCAGGATGTCATATCATTTTGTAAAAAGAGATTTAAAGAAACAAATTGCTAAATTATTTCATTCAAAGGTGCAATTTTTATTTTGAATTGTTTAAAAGCAATCCTATTTTTTGCTGTGTAATATTAATGCGGTCTCAATGTGTATCAATAAGTGTTTAAATGTGACTGCTATGTAATTACTGGTGGATCAATTATGCTCATTTTAAGTTGTTATTATTTTATGTATACGTATTAAATTGTTATTGTATTGTGAAAGAAAATAAGACTTATATAAATAAATATATTTCCCAATATAATTGTGTAGCATTAAATTTCTTTTATTATTATTATAATGTTATTGTTTAATATTTAAGGAATATATTTCCATTAACTGTTGTTATTTAAAATAAGTTTGTCATCAAGAAATATTTTTAAACCTAACTAAACTGAGTGAAAGAATCAGAATTTAAAAGTAAAAGAGAAAGGAAAGTAATAACATTTTTAATAGCTCTAATATGACCTCAAAATCATTTTCTGGAATTAAAGTTGAAACGAGTTTATGACATGATTGATTTAATAAGTGTATGTCTATTAATTTTAATTCCTTAGAAAGGATAAGAGAAGGAATATTCTTAATAAACTGCTTCTTTAACCCTTATTTTATTTCCATCTACTATTTATAGCTTTTCAGTTAATTACCTTATTGTTTGAAATAAGAAATTTTGAACCTTGAGAATAATAGAAATAGATAATATATACAATTATTAAGTATTTTGTGGTTTAGATTTACTTTTTCGCGCAACATCGTCATTTTCAGTAAGAATTAAAAACTAATACGACGTTTTGATGGTACGTCCTAACAAAAATTAGGATTAAATTATGTTTAAAATTATACCATAAATAATGTCAGTAAATAGTTTTTAGTTATCCCTAAAATTTTTGCACAAGTAGGTTCTGTGCGGAGTTAAAGTAAAATAACTCCGTAACCATTAGCAACCGGCTAAAAATCGTGAAAAAACAACTATATTAAGTTTTGATTTAATGATGCTTGAAGACTCCGAACACAACTTCGAACTTGTTGCTGAAGAAGCTTGCAGTATGGCATCCGAAATGTTAAAAAAAAAAGACTCAGCAAGACGCTTAACCCGAAAGTTTCTAGAACTAGAAACTATCTAGTGTTAGTTCTAGTGATAGTGCCAGTGTTAGTTCTAATTTCAGTATAAATTTATCATTAAATGTTGAGACTGTTAACGATTCTTGTTCAAGTACTTTTATTATCTATCACCAATTTATAATACTAATTTGTACAAAATTTTGCAACAAGATAAATTTACACTTACAAATCTTGCATTTTGCGTATTTGGATCAAACAACCTTTGCAACTTGTCCAATATGATAAACATATCAAACTTCATCATATCATAACCCAAGAATCCTATTAAAAATTAAGCTTTTAAGAGAAATTAATTCTGTTGGCAACACAACTTTACTGTGCAATAAAATTGTTCTTTTTTCCACTCTTTAAACAGTTGGCAGTAAACATCATCAGATAAACCCAACACTACAAATTATGGTGGCCTAATTTCCATATATTCCTAGTTTCAACCATTAAGCAAAAGTTTATGGCCATTGTTTCCCATTGTTTAAGTATTGGTACTATTAAAGCCTGCTTAATTACATGGTTACCAGCAGTATATTCCCGTCCGATTTCTTATTAATTAATTTCGCCAAAGGATTGAACTACGCAATCGCCCCGAAGAAGGTCCCAAAAGGCCATTCGAAGGATGCCCGCACTAAAAGCCGAAGACATCCGACAAGAAGTTGCGAGAGTACTGAAATCAGCAAAACCACCGAAATCTAACTAGACGGTTGGTGAAAAGAAGGCACTCCGGTCTATTAAAAAAAAGTCAGAAATCGTCGTATTACCAGCAGACAAGGGGAATGCCACCGTTGTAATGGACCAGAAAGAATATGACAACAAAATGATGAACCTACTGGACCCAGCCACCTACAGGAAGATCAAGAAGGACCCCACAGACAGAATCGTAAGGAAAATGAAGGACTTGATAAAATCCACAGGAATTCCAGCAGAACAGCAGAAAGGATTGTTTGTGCAGGCGCCGGTACCACCAAGAATTTATGGACTACCGAACATCGACAAATTAAACCAATAAATATTCAGAGCTGCTTAGTCATTGTGGGACCCCTAACTTCAGATAAAAAAAACGCATCTCCAGACACTCTTAGACCTTTTATTAACATGTGCAAATTGAGTAAAACTTGCCAATGATTTATCACACATTAATAAAATCTTGTTTTTTAAAGAATTAAGAGCGGTTTTGCAAAAAGGTCGGTAAGAATCCTAACAACGACTAATGAACATTTATTTTCTAAACCCATTGCATCTTAGTCGCAACTGAGGTTATCCTTGAAAATCTGATCAAATGCTATGATCAAATCCTTCTTTAATAGTTTTTAGATGACTTCATTTTGTACTTCATATGAAATTATAAAACCTAGTTCACTTTTTCATTAGATTCCCATTAGCTTAAATGAAAGTGATAGCG